GCTCTCCGCATCCCCTTGCTCCCCGCATTTCTTTGCTCCCCACATCCCCCATTCCCATGTTCCCCGCATTCCCTTGCTCCCCGCACCATGCTTTCCCATCCTCCCCGCATTCCCTTGCTCCCTGCACCCCGCTTGCCCATGCTCCCCGCATTCCCATGCTCCCCGCATTCTCATGCTCCCCGCATTCCTTGCTCCCCGCATCCCGCTTTCCCTTGTTCCCCGCATTCCCATGCTCACCGCTGTCCCATGCCCCCGCTTTCCCATGCTCCCCTCATTCCATGCTCCCCACATTCCCATGCTTCGCGCATTCCCATGCTTCCCACATTCCCTTGCGACCCGCACCCCGCTTGCCCTCGCTAATCCGCTGCTGCCTCTCTCCCCTGTTTCCCGCCACCCGCTTCCCCTAGCTTCCGGCATGCCGCTTTCCCCCGCTTCCTGTTTCTGCCATTCCCCCCTTTTCACATCCCGCTTTCCCCCGGTAGCGACTAGCGCTTCCCGCTTCACCTCGCGGACCGCTTCCCGCTTTCCCTTGCGGGTCGCTTCCCACTTTCCCACGTTGTAACGTGTTACCCGCTTTTTCGCGCGCCGCAATCCCCTGCCTTCTCATTGAATGAAAACAGATAAAGGTTCAAGGCGCAGCAGCAGGGAAGAAAGCGAGGCCGCAGGGATGGGGAAGACAACAGATAGTAGCAAGCGGGAGAGGCGAGAGGGGAGGGAGAGGGGCACGAGAGCAGTGGAGGGGGGAAGGCGTGAGAGCAGGGAGGGAGTGAGGCATGAGAGCAAGGAGGGAGTGAGGCACGAGAGCAGGGAGGGAGTGAGGCATGAGAGCAGGGAGAGAGTGAGGCATGAGAGCAGGCGTGAGTGCAGGGGAGGGGGAGAGGCGTAAGAGTAGGGGAGGGGGAGAGATGGGAGAGCATTGAGGTATGAGGTGCGTGATAGGGGGGGATGTGGGAAGGCGCAAGAGCCATGGAGGGAGCGAGAGGTGAGAGAAGGGAAGGGAAAGAGGGGTACGAGTAGGGGAGTGGGGAAAGGGAGAGTGCAGCCTGGAGGAGATGGGGAGGGGAAGAGGCGTGAGGGCGGGGGAGGAAGAGGCGTGAGGGGCATGGGAGGGGGAGAGGGTGTTAGGGTAGGGGAGGGGGAGTGGCGTGAGTGCAGGAGAGTGGGGAAAGATGGATTGCAGTGAGGGTAGGGGGGTAGGAGTGAGAGCAGAGGAGTGGGAGAGGCGTGAGGGCGTGAGAGGCAGGGACAGCTGGAGGAGATGGGGAGGGAAAGGAGCATGAGGAGAGGGGAGGCAGATACGCATGAGGGCAGGGGAGAGGGAGATGCATGAGGGCAGGGGAGGGGGAGAGGCATGAGGACAGAGGAGGGGGAGTGGCATGAAGCAGGGGAGGGGGAGAGGGCAGTAAGTGTGAGCGGGATCCCGGCAGGACAGGCAGTAAACACTCTATAACTAACCCCTCTCAACCCCCCGCCCCCCCACTAACGTATGCCCCCATCTCTTTCTCCCCCCCCCCCCCCCCCCCTCCCCCCCCTCCCCTCCTCCCCGCTCTCTCGCAGCCTACCGGGTGGCACATGATTGCTAGTCAAGCTCACCTTGGACAACCTCTCCGTTAAAAGCCAGACTTCACCCCAAACCTATCCACTCACTCCCCTGTGCATCTCTCAACAAACCACATTCTGTGGGTGATCTCCGTGCGGCCACGCATTCAGACATTCAGCCGTTATTGGCAAATGCTAACCATGTCTCTTCTCTAGCATCATCTACGACGGCTGCAGAAAATGGAAATTATGTAACCCTACATATGTGAACGACACCTTGTAACTGAGTTGGTCCAGGGTTGTAAAGCCAACTTGAATTTTGAGGTCCCTCAAGTTTGTTACATTCTTCCTGCCACATATATATGCGACCTTTTCAGGTTATGAACGGCTTGTCGGTCGTTCTGTAAGAGTACATGAACTTGGCACCAATTTTGGCAACAAGAGTAGCTTTTTATCTTTAGCATAAAGTCATATTAGTCTAGATACATTCAGAAAGTCAAGTTCCCATGGAAAGCGATTTAATCTACTAAACAAATCCAAGACACACACTGAGATATATCGAAAACGTCTTAGCATATATAGTAACAAGTGTTGGCTACAACACCTCCATCCAACCACCAAGAAGGGCGTAGTCCAACGGAATCGGTGCAAAACACGGCTTTATGAAATTTGTGAATACCAAACTGAACCGAATTGAATCGCAAATTACAGCGTGCTATAGAGCGCGCGGATTTTAGGATCCAAAATTTCAGGTCCTATTTGCTTGATATTCGGGTCTGTAGAAACACGCCCCTATTCACAAAATGACGTGCTGACCAATCACACACCCTTTGCCCCCACCCTTCACCTGCAACCGAACCCAACAAAATTTATTCATCCAACTCAGCCCCTGCACCTCGTCCAACCAATCAAAATCTGCCAAGTGGTTCCAGAGCGGCTAATCCAGCTCAACCACCTGCTCGCCCCAACCACCCAGCCCACCACGCTGCACCCCACATGCCAGCACTCCAGCCCACCACACACTTCTGATCCCTTCCTTACTTGCCCCCTTGTGCCCTCTCATGCCTTCCAGCTAGACGTTACTTACAATAATAGCCCTCGGCAGTTCTATCTGCATCAGTTTCAGCTCCCATTCTCGCCTTCGCGTCCCCTAGTGAGCAGCTCCTTCCTCTCCCACAGGCTTCGATTACCATGGTCGTTCTTAGTGCGCCCTATGCTGAGGATCTCGTTTCACGATGGTCTATCGTTTCAAGCAGCTCGTAGGTGACTAGTCTTGTTCACCCATGTCATTCTTATCTGCATGTTCATGAGCTAATGCGCCATTGGGGGGGCGGGAGAGTAAGGAGGGGCGAGGGGGAGGAGGCGGCACGCAGAAGCGGTATCTTCGGGAGGCGGGGCGCCTGGCGGAGTACCTAGATGCGCGCATGGAGGCGGCCACCAAGTGCGCGGACGCCAGCAGATGCGAGCACGGTGGTGAAACATCTCTTCCCTTGTTTCGCTTCTCGCCACTGTCCTTTTCCTCTCTCCTGTACTCGTTCCGTCTATGCCCGTCTCGATCCCCCTTTCGTGCCCTCTCTCCCTTTTCGCTCGTCCCAGCTGCTCTTTCTCCCCCTCGCCCCTGGAGCTGTGCTTGCCATGTGTGTGCTTGCCACGTGTGTGCTTGGCGCAGCAGCGGTGCGGCGTGACTCGTGCAGAGAGGCATGGCTAGTAGTGTGTGTGGGAAGGTGGAGGGGGCAGAGCGGAATGGAGAGCATCCGCTCTCGTGCACTCCCCTTCTCACGCGCATGCCCCATCCATCCGTCCATCGTGTGTGCGCTGCAGGTTGGGCACAGCAGCAGCAGGCCCGAGGAGCAGTGAAGGGGGGCATGCTGGCGCCATGGGTGGTGCGCTGCCAGACGACGTGAGCGCCATGGCGTATGCGCACGACCTGCCACCCAAGGTGCATACATGTGCCTTGCTATATGCATGGCGGTGTGAAGCCATCCCTGGCAGCCCATCCGTGTGCCCTCTGTTCTGCCTGTTGCGTGCCCATGCCACCCCCTTTTGGCTCTTGCACGCCACGCCTCTCCATGCGACCTACCACTCTCCTTGCCTTTACTCACCTCTTTCTTTCACATGGCTGCATGGAATCACATGGCTGCATGGCATGGCATGGGCGCATGGCACATGGGTGCATGGCATCACATGGGTGCATGGCATCACATGGGTGCATGGCATCACATGGGTGCATGGCATCACATGGGTGCATGGCGTGGGTGCATGGCATCAGGTGCATCTGTGGCAGCACCACGAGTCTCTCTCCTCGCGCCATCTCTCCTCCTCCCTCGCCTCCCTGCACCGTTACTTCGACTACAGGTGAACAGTCATGGCCAGGCGGAGAGGGGGGGGTCATACAGGTGCCACGGATGGGTTGCTGGAGTAGAGAGGCCCATGAGAGGGCATTCGCAGGCACGTGCGAGTGTGGGGGGCAGTGGGAAGGGCCTGCTGCATGACAGGGCAAGGAAGTGTGGGGGAGAGTGTGGCGTTCGCACGTTGATACGTGTGATCGTGTGAGTGTGCTGTGCACGCGTGGCCCTCATGGTGAGGCAGCCACGAGGAGTGCAGCCACCACGAGGAGTGCAGCCGCCACAAGGAGTGCAGCCTCCATTCTGTTCTTCCATGTCTTGTGCGCTCTTCCCCGACTCTTGCGCACACCGTCACTCCACCCTCCCGCTTCCGCCCCCTGCCACCCCCTCCTCTCTCCAAGCAGTGCGGGCGTGACAGCGGTGGGTAGTCGCCCGGCGTCGGAGTGGTGTGCGGGGCGATTCCAGGCGGGGCTGCTGGTGGAGGGTGCCATGCACGCACGATACGGGCACACACAGCACGCCATGGGGGTATGAAGGCATTTGTTACTTGACGTATCAATCAAACTAATGATTCGCATGTGTCCTCACGATGCTTGTCTTTATCGCAGCTAGCTATGTAACTCTGTCCAACATCGAGATAATTCCCCATGTAAGTCCAATTGTAAGTCTCGCTGGTCATTTGATCGTCGGACTAATTTCACAACAATGTCTCGTATGACGTGCAGAAATTTGTAGCCTACCACGTGCTATTTCCTCCGGTAAGCTGGCTCTTGTAATTGCTGTCGTATGGAATATAACTAATTTGATTACAATGTTTGAACCTAATGTGCACGACTCAATATCCAGCGTCGCGCTACTTCGTTGTTGTAAGCATTGTCCTTATTGTTGGTGATTTCGACCTTGGATTAATTTCGAGATAACAAGTTCTGAACGTAACGTGCAGGAATTCCAATCCAGTTTCAAGAATTGCTGCTCCTGGTGTGCCGCCGCTCAGTTTCTCTTTGTGTTAGTGCGGGACCCACATAGGGGTGCTGGTAGGCAAGGGCGGTTGGGCCATAGTGGTTGTGTACTGTAGTGTAGATGTTTTTTTTAATATATCAAATAATTTGCTTGTTGCATTTTAAGTAAATCCAAACGAGGCATGCCCTAATTGTACTGAACCATGCCCAAAAGGGTACTGCAGCCTGCAAAAACGGATCCATGAAAAACACCGCCAAACGTTTGCAACAAATCATGCTGAATACTAAAAATGGTGAGCATAAACTTCTCTATGCATTTACATGTTTACTGCAAAAGTTGTAGAAAGAACGCCGCCATGCATTTGTAAACGAACCACGGAGATTACCGAAAAGACACCTCTAAGCATTCGCTGTCGTGAACCAAAAAGTGTTTTGGGAAATGTTGTCAAAGCATTCGCCAAGTGTTCTAATCTAAGTCCGCCATGAATTTTCACCCACATGTTCGCAAAACGTTTGCAAAGCATTTGCGCGAATGCTACGCAATCGTTTTGCGAGCATACATTTTTTGCGATGGTCGTGGAAGTGCACTTAAAAGCTTCAGCTAGGAGCATCTGCTGCCGTTGCTGCTTCTGCTGCTGCTGCTGCCACATCTCCTCCAAAGGAAATGCCATGCCTCCCATCGCCATACCGCTCCCTAGCGCTCCTCCACCTACACCACCACCACAACCACCACCACCGCCACTCCCTGCCACCCCACATTGCCGCTGCACTGGCTTCTTCTCCCTCAGCCTGTTCAGCTGAGCCACGGACATTCCCTCACCCACCTGAACCCTCCCCTGGATCCCCCCTCCCTCCACCTGACCAGCCTCTTCAATAGCAGCGATCTGGGTTTGGAGTGAGCCAGGGACGAGCAATGGGACGGTGGCGCTGTGGGGAGCAACGGGCCCCCCTTCCTCCACCTCCATTGATGCCCCCCCAGCAGCAGTGGTCCCCGTGTGGAGAACGCCAGAGAAGAGCGATATGGCGGTGGTGTCATAGGCAGCAAAAAGCCCCCCTCCCTCCACTTCTCCCGCCCCTCCACCACCAGCAGCAGCAGCAGCTTGGGTGGGGAGTGAGCCAGGGAAGAGCGATGCAGCAGGGGCGTTGTGGGCTGCGACGAGCGTGCCCATCGAGTCGGCAGGGAAAAATTCGCGCTTGATAATGACACAAGGACCACCAGTGCCACCAGTGCAACCAGTGCCACCAGTCCCACCAGTCCCACCAGTCCCACCAGTGCCACCAGTGCCACCAGTGCCACCACTCCCACCACTCCCGCCACTCCCACCAGTCCCACCAATCCCACCAGTCCCACCACTCCCACCAGTCCCACCAATCTCACCAGTGCCACCAATCCCACCAGTCCCACCAGTCCCACCACCCATAACACCCCCACTACCTCCCCAACCCCCGGCGCTGCTGCTGCCTCCTGGCGGTGAGGCTCCAGCAGAGGGCGGCAGGTGACTGTTGAGTCGACTCAATAGTTGCCTGGTGCTGAGGTCCCAGCAGGGGGCAGCAGAGGGCAGCAGCACGACTGCTGGCTCGGATGCTGCTGGCAGTGGCGCCGGTTGCTTCGGGTGTGTTGCTGATAGGTCCGGTTGCCCTGGCAGGAACGGACGCTGGCCTGGGTACTGTAATGCTGCTGGCTCGGATACTGCTGGCTCGGATACTGGTGAGCCAAGGAAATTTGGCTCTGCCCTCATAACGCCGGCACCAACAACAGCAGTTACACGAGCAGCACCAGCGCCAGTATCTATCAGCACTCTCAACGCCTCCTGCCCATTATCCAGGGATGGGACACCTGATGGGAAACCTGTGGTGACTCCCAGGGGCCTACATGCCCCATCTGCTTCGGCTGCTTCCCTCCTCGTGCTCACACTCTGGTTACCACCGCCGCAATCTGTCGCAACCAATCTCATGTTCCACACTCTGGTCACCCTGGGGCTACCTGGGGCGACTCCTGGGGGCCTACATGCCCCATCCGCTTCGGCTGCTGCCCCTCCCATGCTCACACTCTGGTTACCACCGCCGCAATCTGTCGCAAGCAACCTGGGGCTACCCGGGGTGACTCCCTGCGGCCTACATGCCCCATCCGCTTCGGCTGATTCCCCCCTCATGCTCACTGTCTCACTCGTGACTGCGCTCCGGTTTTGAGTTGAATCACAAATGAGCCGCTGGTTACCACTGCCGCTCTCTGTTATGCGGTCCTCTGCCTCTCTCGCATGAGCCCCCCCAGGGATACTTCCAGGCGGAGATGTAGCAGCAGTGTTAGGGCGGGGTGAAGCACCTCCAGAGACCAACATGCTTGTAACGGAAGCGGGGAGGCGTCTACGGGGGATGTACAGGCGGGTCAAGGCAGGCGGGCGGGAGTGGGAGGGGCTGGGCGCCTCATGGTTATGCTCGTTAAAATAGGTGACGACTGGAGATAAGGTGGCCGAGGGAGCGACATCAGTAGTCGTAGTAATCTCAGCGCTGGTAGCAATGCCATCGGCTGCTGACGATGGGCCGGCTTCAGTCACACCTGTTACAGTCACACCTCCCGCTTCCAAGCGTCCACCAGTGGACGGGTGCATGGCGGCACAGCTTAGAACACCGGTTGTGATTCTCCAGTCTACAATTTTCTTGGCAGGGCATGGTTCCCGGTGCGCAAAGGAGGGGCCCTGACGGGGATCCCCAAGGAAGCAGCGGTAGTACGAGCGGATGCAGCAGGAATCGACAACTAGCAACTTTTGTCCATACTTGCACCAGTCGTACCCGTCATCTGGCAAGTCAACGGGCAGCCACTGGTTATTGCGCCGCCCGCTGTAACTGCGGGTACCACTCTGCTGCGCATTCTGCCGCCCGCTCTGCTGTGCATTCTGCCGCTCGTTGTAACCCGTACCGCCGCCAGTCCGCCGCCCGGTGCCGTGGCCTTTTCTGGCGCTACCACAGCCTTGAGCGGAGGCCTCCAAGCCTCGCTTACAGGTCCGGATTCGGGAAACCTGGAGCTTCGGGGAGGCTTGGGTGGTGGTGGGTTCGGACGGGGTTGATTCTACCACTGTAGATGTTACAACAGCAGTGGCAGTGGCAGCATTTGCAGCAGCAGCAGCAGCAACGGCAGCAGCAGCGCTGTGAGTTGGTGAGGGGGGAGAGAGCGGGGGCGAAGTCGGCAGTACAGGCGAAGTTGGTTGGGGTGGAAAGGGGAAGCCGATAGTTGCTCCACCAGAAGACGAGGACGGAAATAAGTGCCGGTTATTGGCTGCCAGTGCGGCACTGGCAGCATCCGCTGTGGCGGCGACTCGTTGGAGGCCGGTAGGGGTGGCAGCAGCGGCGGGAGCAGAAGAAGAGGACGGAAATAAGCGCCGGCGGTTGTTGCCTGCACTGGCATAACCCGCTGTGGTGGCAACTCGTCGGAAGGCGGCAGCGGGGGCAGCAGCGGGGGCAGCAGCGGTGGCAGCAGCGGTGGCGGCAGCGGTGGCAGCAGCGGTGGCGGCAGCGGTGGCGGCAGCGGTGGCAGCAGCGGGAGCAGAAGGAGCAGTGTTGGCTCTCCTAAATCTGGATCGGGCGAGGCACTTCGCTTGGCGGGTCATTCTGTGAGGAGCGAAAAGGAAAAAAAGGGGAAAGGGAGGATGAACGGCGAGCGGCTGGTGCATCATCATGGCATGCGGCGGCGAGGAGTGTCGACTCGTACACTGGAACGCCACAGCTAGTGTGGGAATGCTATTACGGTACAGCTACTCGAAACGCTATTAGTACGCTACAGCTAGTTTAAACGCTATTACGCTACGGAGAGTCGTCACAAGACTTGAGACGGCAGGTAGGGTATTCAGATGGAGGATGCGGGAGGGAAGCAAACTAGAGAGGGCCAATCGACAGACTTATGAGACCTAAAATATGGCAAACGTACGTCGTATGGCGGTTTCAATTCCACGATAGTACGTACAGTTTCAGGCTGTGTGAATTGGGAAGCCGTGCGACCTCAGATGAGCCCTTCACTGGCGCCGCCGTCGCCGCTTCTGCCGCTACTACCGCATGATCCGCCGCATGCGACGCCGCAGAATATGCTGCACGGCTTGGAACCGAACCAACGGGACTAGGTCCCGAACCGGCAAGGCTGGAGCCCGGCGAACCAGCGGAGCTGGAAAAATGGCGGCTGTCTCCGGAGGGCGACGGATGTTGAGACGCCTCGAAAGCAGACGGCGCAGACTGCGAGGGATATTGAGACGTCTCGAAAGCCGCCGACGGCGATGGATACTGTTCCAAGTCCCAGCCGCGCCGCGTTGATCCCAAGGCCGTCGCTTCTTCTTCCGCCGCCGGCCCAGGGCTTCCTGCCAGCGAGATCATCTCAGACCGCCGCGTAACAGGAGCTGGGATCATATCAGATCGCCGCCTACTAGTCGGAACTGGGATCATGTCAGATCGGCGCCCAATGATGTCAGATCGCCGCCCACTAATTGGAACCGGGCGGCGAAACCCATCATCCTCCGCTGCGTACGTTGCGTCAACTTCAAGTCGGAATGACATGATATCCGTGCCGCGACACCCGACCCTTGGACCAGCGCTACTTTGCAGCTGCAGCAACTACTGGTCGTACTAAGCGTATAAAGCCAGAACAAGTCTAGCTTTTCAGTGCTTCTTGTAGTGGTACTATCTTGTACATTCAAGGGACTCCACGTGGTCAGCAGCATCTCTTCAGTGAACGGATTTGGGATGCACACGGAATTCCAGAGAACAGTAGGAACGTTACGCGATGGGGTGATCAGTTGCGAAATTGCGATACATGAATTCTGGCAGGAGTTGTAACTGCTGTCCAAACTGCGTCGACGAAATAGATGTCAAGGTACCGAGCTGTAAACTATCTGTATTTTTTTACAAACTAAATAAAACGAGCTAAACCTGCGATGGATGTCGGCGGATTTCGTCGACATCCCACTTTGAACCCGCATTTCTGCAGTCGCTCGCTCCCTCAAGAAGAATCAACGAACAAAGAAATGGCCTCTCATTCGAAACAGTGCAATTTTCCGCGTCCCCTGCTCAATGTACCAGCGAGCCGCACTGTGCGCAGCACATTGGCGAACCGCGGATCATGCTACCTCCCAACGCGGTTTGAAGATCCCTTTGATTACTGTTGGCTGAATTCTCTCAATTTTCATTGGGTGATTGTTGACACGTATGACGTTGCACACTACTTTATGTGCAGAACTGTAAAAGAAACAAATTTGACAAATTTGCTGAAGCTAGTGTCTTGCCGAAGGAAGAATATATTGTATTTGTGTTATTACTCGCGGACAGACACATCGATGCACAAACGCGTGAGCCACATTCTAGCTTGTAAGGTGCATAGTGTACCGCTTTCACTATTTACTAGGGCATGAGCCAACTCATGCTTCTCTTCTAGAGTGTTAGTCAATCCATGGTCAGGTTAAGAAGGGCTGCCAGGGCCTTCTGGTATCAATTCGAGTGTAGCAGATGTGGCTACTCGAAGTATTGCTCTCTCAAGTAGTGCGGCAGAAGAGTGCTTAAGTCCAAGGGCCTGACAAAAAAAAAGATCAATAGCCACAAGTCGGTTCACCGGAATTGCACGAAACATCGCAATCAAAACGACAGCACCCGACAGCTGGCATGCGGAGAATGGGAGGGAGCAATGGACTCACCGGACTATGTATAAGCTCCAACAGAGCCGTTTTTTGCTGCTCTGTCATTGGCCTTGGCTTCAGTGCTGCTCCTGCTGCAGTTGCCGCAGGCCCTCCTCTACCAACTCTGTCTTCCATGGCTAGTCCAGGTCCTGACAGAGTGGAGGGCCCTTCTATGGTCATCCCATACACCAGCCCCGGTCCACTGCCTGCTGCTGCTTCTCCCTCCCTGCGAGCTCCACCACAGGCTCCAATCAGCGCTGCTACAGCCGGAGTCAGGTGGATACCACTGGCTGCAGCGAGTCCAGGTGTGGCTGAATCGCCTGCTGGTACACCTGGGGGAGGCACATCTGGTGCAGGTACAGCTGATGCTGCCTGGGCCGAAGAGGGAGTGTGGCCTGAGAGCGTTCTGGTAGTGGGGGGTGTATGACTGCTGTGAGTGTGAGACCAGAGCCGATGGAGAGCAAGGGAAAAGGGAGATAGGGGCCTTCCGGGGCGTGAAATACCGGCAGGCTTTGGTGGAGTGGTGGTGGGTGAGGGAGAATCGGATGGTTCAGGTGCGTTAGTGGGTGTGTCTGGTGAGGAGGGGGAAGATATTGAAGGAGAAATGAGTGCTTCAGATGGGAAGATTGTTCTCTGGGGTTGAAGTGGAGAGTGCAAATTAGCTGTGTTGGATTGGTGGTGCGAGGGAGGCTGGTTGGGAGACTTGGGAAGTGAGGAGGGCGAGGGGGAGTGGGACGGGGAGAAAGAAGGCGAGAGAGGGGAGAAGAGAGATGCTAGGGTTGATGCTGGTGATGCTGACCGTTTTGTCGCCTTTTCAGGTGTTATCCCAGGTGTCCTTTCAGTCCCTTCACCAGCAGAGGGAGCTGCTGAAGCTGCAGGTGCCTCAGGTGTTGCAGGCTTGGCATGGGCTGGTTTAGCAAGGGTGGGCCGGGGTTCAGTGGGACTGAAGAAACGGAATGGGGAGAGAGAGCGAGGGCGGGAGGGTTTGTGGGAGGAGGATGGAGAGGGTTGAGAGGAGGGAAGAGCAGGCGAGCCCGAGGACATGTGGGACTCAGTAGCAGAGGTGACGCTGGGGGCCCTTTGAGGCGCCTTAACAGCAGCAGCAGGGGAGCCAGAGCTAGTGTGACACTCTGAAGTAGCAGAGCTGACGCTGGGTGCAGCACCAGCAGCAGTAGCAGCCACAGCAGCAGCACCAGCAAAGGTAGGAGCAGCCGCAGCAGCAGCATCACCAGCAGTCACAGATGAAGACGAGAGAGGAGAGAAGGAGGGGGCGGAGGAGGAGGAGGGGAAAGGGGAAGAAGGGATCACCTTGAGGCGGATGAGAGGCGCAGCAGGGGTAACCAAGGGGCTCTTGGAGGGGGACGTCAGGGAGGTTGGGGAGGTTGGGGAGGACGGCAGGGATGACTGAGATTGCTGAGATCCCTTCAGGTTGGATCCAACACCCCAGACTTTGCCTTGAGACTGCTCTTCCCCTTCTTCTTCCTCCTCCTCCGCTTCCTCTTCCTCGTCCTCCTTGATCAAGGAGAGAGTAGTCCAGCGCATGAACCTGAGTCGGCGCTGCCTGGCGGGTTCCTCCTCACTCTGCAGAGCTAAGGGCAAACGGCGAGGGCTAACAGCAGCAGCGGCAGCTGCAGAAGCAGCTGTACTACCTCCTGCGTCAGAGGCAGAACCGGCTGCATTGTCTCCTGCGTCAGAGGCAGAAGCAGCAGCAGCGGCAGCAACAGCGGTAGCAGTGGCAGCAGCAGCAGCAGCGGCGGCATCAGCAGCGGTAGCAGCAGCGGTAGCAGCAGCGGTAGCAGCAGCGGTAGCAGCAGCGGCATCAGCAGCGGTAGCAGCAGCGGTAGCAGCAGCGGTATCAGCAGCGGTATCAGCAGCGGTAGCAGCAGCGGCATCAGCAGCGGTAGCAGCAGCGGTAGCAGCAGCGGTAGCAGCAGCGGTATCAGCAGCGGTATCAGCAGCGGTAGCAGCAGCGGCATCAGCAGCGGTAGCAGCAGCGGTAGCAGCAGCGGTAGCAGCAGCGGTATCAGCAGCGGCATCAGCAGCGGTAGCAGCAGCGGTAGCAGCAGCGGTAGCAGCAGCGGTAGCAGCAGCGGTAGCAGCAGCGGTAGCAGCAGCGGTAGCAGCAGCGGTAGCAGCAGCGGTAGCAGCAGCGGTAGCAGCAGCGGTAGCAGCAGCGGTAGCAGCAGCGGTATCAGCAGCGGTATCAGCAGCGGCATCAGCAGCGGTAGCAGCAGCGGTAGCAGCAGCGGCATCAGCAGCGGTAGCAGCAGCGGTAGCAGCAGCGGTAGCAGCAGCGGTATCAGCAGCAGCGGCATCAGCAGCGGTAGCAGCAGCGGTAGCAGCAGCGGTAGCAGCAGCGGTAGCAGCAGCGGTAGCAGCAGCGGTAGCAGCAGCGGTAGCAGCAGCGGTAGCAGCAGCGGTAGCAGCAGCGGCATCAGCAGCGGTAGCAGCAGCGGTAGCAGCAGCGGTAGCAGCAGCGGTAGCAGCAGCGGCATCAGCAGCGGAGCAGCGGTAGCAGCAGCGGTACAGCAGCGGTATCAGCAGCGGTAGCAGCAGCGGCATCAGCAGCGGTAGCAGCAGCGGTAGCAGCAGCGGTAGCAGCAGCGGTATCAGCAGCGGTATCAGCAGCGGTAGCAGCAGCGGTAGCAGCAGCGGTAGCAGCAGCGGTAGCAGCAGCGGTAGCAGCAGCGGTAGCAGCAGCGGTAGCAGCAGCGGTAGCAGCAGCGGTAGCAGCAGCGGTAGCAGCAGCGGTAGCAGCAGCGGTACAGCAGCGGTAGCAGCAGCGGTAGCAGCAGCAGCGGTACAGCATACAGCAGCGGTAGCAGCAGCGGTACAGCAGCGGTAGCAGCAGCGGTACAGCAGCGGTAGCAGCAGCGGTACAGCAGCGGTAGCAGCAGCGGTAGCAGCAGCGGTAGCAGCAGCAGCGGTACAGCAGCGGTAGCAGCAGCGGTAGCAGCAGCGGCAGTCAGCAGCGGTAGCAGCAGCGGTAGCAGCAGCGGTAGCAGCAGCGGTAGCAGCAGCGGTAGCAGGTCAGCAGCGGTAGCAGCAGCAGCGTAGCAGCAGCGGTAGCAGCAGCGGTAGCAGCAGCGGTAGCAGCAGCGGTAGCAGCAGCGGTAGCAGCAGCGGTAGCAGCAGCGGTAGCAGCAGCGGTAGCAGCAGCGGTAGCAGCAGCGGTACAGCAGCGTACAGCAGCGGTATCAGCAGCGGTAGCAGCAGCGGTAGCAGCAGCGGCATCAGCAGCGGTAGCAGCAGCGGTAGCAGCAGCGGTAGCAGCAGCGGTATCAGCAGCGGTAGCAGCAGCGGTATCAGCAGCGGCATCAGCAGCGGTAGCAGCAGCGGTAGCAGCAGCGGTAGCAGCAGCGGCATCAGCAGCGGTAGCAGCAGCGGTAGCAGCAGCGGTAGCAGCAGCGGTAGCAGCAGCGGTAGCAGCAGCGGTAGCAGCAGCGGCATCAGCAGCGGTAGCAGCAGCGGTAGCAGCAGCGGTAGCAGCAGCGGTATCAGCAGCGGTAGCAGCAGCGGTATCAGCAGCGGTAGCAGCAGCGGCATCAGCAGCGGTAGCAGCAGCGGTAGCAGCAGCGGTAGCAGCAGCGGTACCAGCAGCGGTAGCAGCAGCGGTACCAGCAGCGGTAGCAGCAGCGGTAGCAGCAGCGGTAGCAGCAGCGGTAGCAGCAGCGGTAGCAGCAGCGGTACCAGCAGCGGTAGCAGCAGCGGTAGCAGCAGCCGGTAGCAGCAGCGGTACAGCAGCGGTAGCAGCAGCGGTAGCAGCAGCGGTAGCAGCAGCGGTAGCAGCAGCGGTAGCAGCAGCGGCAGCAGCAGCGGTAGCAGCAGCGGTACCAGCAGCGGTAGCAGCAGCGGTACCAGCAGCGGTAGCAGCAGCGGTACCAGCAGCGGTAGCAGCAGCGGTACCAGCAGCGGTAGCAGCAGCGGTACCAGCAGCGGTAGCAGCAGCGGTACCAGCAGCGGTAGCAGCAGCGGTACCAGCAGCGGTAGCAGCAGCGGTACCAGCAGCGGTAGCAGCAGCGGTACCAGCAGCGGTAGCAGCAGCGGTACCAGCAGCGGTAGCAGCAGCGGTACCAGCAGCGGTAGCAGCAGCGGTATCAGACGGCTCCCCTGCCCTGGACTGTGCCCTTTCTTTCCCTCCTGCACTTCCTCCTTCCTTTTTACAAAGAGCCAAATGATTCGTGCCTTGTGCCTCATGTATCTCCGCAGGTGCCTTGCGCAGATCCTCAGATGGTTCGCACGGACCCTCAGGTGATTTGCACAGCTCCTCACGTGCCTCATGCATCTTCTCAGGTGCCTCATGCATCTTCTCAGGTGCCTCATGCATCTTCTCAGGTGCCTCATGCATCTTCTCAGGTGCCTCATGCATCTTCTCAGGTGCCTCATGCATCTTCTCAGGTGCCTCATGCATCTTCTCAGGTGCGCCTGAAAGAGCCTCTCCTCTAGGGCATTGTGTCCAACATTGTGTCCCACCCTGCTCGTCACCTGCCTCCAGCTTTCCAGGTGTCTCATACTTTCTACCCGCCCCTGCTGTTTCACCTGCCTCTGACTTTCTACCTGCTTCCTTCCCTTGAGTTGCCTGCTGCTGCTGCTGCTGCTGCTGTTTGAGAGCAGGTGGCACCTCTCCTGCTGCTGTGGGTGAGTCTCCAGCGCTTTCAAGCGACTCAGCAGGTGATGACAGGTCAGCAGCGGGCAAGGACACGTCAGCAGCTGGAGGCCAGCCGGTGGTTGGTGACGTGTCAACAGACCCATGGCAGTCGTGCCTCACAGGAGGCGCAAGAGAGGGGAGGGTAGTGGAGGGAGAGAGGCTATCACCATCACCATCAACAGCAGCAGCAGCACCAGCACCAGTAGCAGCAGTAGCAGCAGCAGCACCAGCACCAGTAGCAGCAGCAGCAGCACCACCACCACCACCACCACCACCACTAGCACCAGTAGCAGCAGTAGCAGAAGCAGCAGCGTCATAAATCCCATCAGCACCAGCACCAGCAGTAGCACCAGCAGCAGCACCAGCAGCAGCACCAGCAGCAGCAGCGACAGCAGCAGCTGCAGCAGAAGGTGCAATAGCAGTCGCAGCAGGAGACTCAGCAGCAACAGGAGGATGAGCAGCAACAGGAGGATGAGCAGCAACAGGAGGATGAGCAGCAACAGGAGGATGAGCAGCAACAGGAGGATGAGCAGCAACAGGAGGATGAGCAGCAGTAGAGGAATGAGCAACAGTAGAGGAATGAGCAGCAGGAGAAGCATCTGCTGCTGATCCACTACCCCCGCTGGCAGCACCAGTAGAGGCACCTGCTGCCGACCCTCCTGCCCCACTAGCACCATTACTTGAGCCTCTCTCACCAGCAGCAGCACCTGAGGCGCCAGCAGCAGCACCACCAGAGGCACCACCTGAGGCAGCACCTGAGGCAGCACCTGAGGAAGCACCTGCCCCTCCTGCAGCACACCCCAGCCATCCCCGCAGCTTGCTACTCTCCTCCGCCAGCTGGCGCATTGCCATTCGCTGCTGCTGCAGGCGAGTTTTGAGGGCCTGCAGGCTCTGGAGAGTGCTCTTCTGGGTGGCAATGCGGGCGGCTAGAGCGGGGGAGAGGGCGAGTGAGGGGGGAGGAGCGGAGGAGAGAGAGAGCGAGGTTGGTGGCAGTGTGGGGGTGGAGGCAGGGGGAGGAGTTTCAGGAGACTGCAGGCTCTGGAGTCTGTTCTGGGTGGGAACGGGGGCAGCTAGAGCGGGAGAGAGAGGGGGGGAGGGAGGCTGTGTGGCCGAGGGGGAGAGGGAGGCAGATGGCATGGGAGGGAGGCTCTGGAGGCTGTTCTGAGTTGTTATGGGAGCAGGTAGAGCGGGGGAGAGGACGTTTTGATTCGACTCAAAAGATGGCATGGGAGGCAGGCTTTGACGGCTGTTCTGAGTTGTCATGCGACCAGGTAAAGCGGGGGAGAGGGCGAGTGAGGGTGGAGGTGTGGGGGAGAAGAGGGAGAGGGGTGGTGGCGGGGAGAGATACGAGGATGGAGGTAATGAGGCTGGAGCTGTTGTTGTGGCTGGTTCTAAGGAGGCTGAAGCTGCTGTTGTGGTTCCCATGGACACGACGTTTTCTACCTTGCATTCCAACGCCCCTGTGTCACCATAACCACCTGTTCCAATACACTCCTCTTCTCCATCCTTCTCTTCCCCAGCTGCCCGTTCGCTTCCTGATGAGCCTGATCCTGTTGCTGTGAGTACAGCTGCTAGAGCTATCGCTGCCCCCCCTCCAGACGCCCCTGTGTCACCATAACCACCTTTTTCAATACACTCCTCTTCTGCTTCCTTCCCTAGTGTCCCTCCGCTTCCTGATGTGGCCGATGATGTTGCTGTGAGCACCGCTGCTAGAGCTGTCGCTTCCCCGCCTCCATACGCCCCTGTGTGATCACAACCACTCATTTCATCACCCTCTGCCTCTTCTTCTTCCCCATCTTTCTCTCCCTCAGCTACCACCCAAGTTTCCTCCAACCCCGCTTTCCTGTCAATCTCCACTTTCACAATCCCTCTCTCAACCTCCCTCCCATCCTCCTCATTCTCCCCCTCCTCCACCAGCAATTTTGCGTCCTGCACTGTGCCGTCCTGCACCTTGCCATCCGGCACCTTGCCGTCCTGCACCTTGCCATCCTGCACCTTGCCGCCCTGCACCTTGCCGTCCTGCACCTTGCCGTTCTGCACCTTGCCGTCCTGCACCTTGCCATCCTTCACCGTGCCGTCCTGGACCTTGCCGTTCTGGACCGTGCCGTCCTGGACCTTTTCTTTCACCTTTTCCTCCCCTCCCTCCTCTCTCTTGTCCTCCCCCCTTTCTGCTTCCCGTTCCTCTCCCAATGCTTCTTCCTTCTCTCCTCCTGCTTCCTCCAATCGTCCCTCGTTTATCTTCTCCTGTCCCTCCTCTCTGTACCCCATTCCCACCTCGCCACTGAGTTGAATCGGTAAAAGAGAATTCTCAAAAGCCAATTCTCCTCCTGCTTCCCCCAAAGGTCCCTCCTTTCTCTTCTCTTGTCCCTCCTCTCTCTCCCCCATTCCCACCTCTTCACTTCCCTCCCCCTCAACAGCCTTTTCTTCTTCAACCTCTACTGCTACAGCCGGCCCAGGAATCTCAACTCCTGCAGGAGAGCCTTGTGCTACATCCGACCAAGGGTTTCCAGCTTCTGCAGAAAATTCCCCTGCTACAGCCGGGATAGGGTCAAACTCTGCTACATTTGCTGTGATGGGAAATCCTGCCACAGATTTAGCAGCGGAAGCTTCTGCTACAGACAGCCCAGGTGCGGCTCCTGCTACAGCCAATCCAGGTGTGGCTCCTGCTACAGCCGGTCCAGATGCGGCTCCTGCTACAGCCAATCCAGGTGTGGCTCTTGCTACAGCCGGTCTAGATGCGGCTCCTGCTACAGCCAGTCCAGGTGCGGCTTGTGCTAAAGTTGCATCAGGAGAGCGTCCTGCTACTACCACGATTGGATTAGCTTCTGCTAGAAGAGCCTCCTGCTTCTGTACCGCTGAAGAAACGCTGCCTGCTACAGCCAGGGCAGAGGCTTCTTGAGATCCACCTGAAATTTCACCTGAGCCGGCACCTGGGCTCAGCATATTTTTTTTAGTCGACTCAAAGCGAGATTCACCTGAAATCCCACCTGAGCCTCCACCTGGGCTCAGCATCTTGTGAAGGGAAGACAAGAGGCGGCGGGGAGAAGGTGGACGGATCCTAGCAGCAGGAGAGGGAGACTTGTTAGGAGGAGGCGACTTTTGAGTCGACTCAAAAAGCGACTTGTTAGGAGGAGCCCGAAGAGCAGGAGGAAGGGAGGAAGTCGGAGGAGAGGGGTCTAAAGCGATGGCAGGAGGAGGAAGGGACACAGGGGGCAGGTTCCAAGCGGTTGGGAGGTTTGCAACGGGCCCTGCGGGGGCTGATGCAGGGACAGGCAGACGAGGAGGACGAGAAGGGATGGTGGAGGCAGGAAAAGGGGAGAGAGGAGGACGAGGAGGGGCAGAAGAGGCAGGATGCGGGGAGGTGGCAGAAGATGGCAGGGGGGAGGAGGCAGAGGCACGAGGTGCACCTACAGAAGCCTGGGGAGGTGACTGTACACAGTGTGACTCCTCGGAGCGTGGCTGTACGGAGCGTGACTTAGGGGAGGTGGTGGAGGCGGGGGAGAGAGTGGCTTTAAGGGAGCGGAGCCAGGAGGACGCTGCTGCTGACATGCTCTTGGATCTCTTGGGGGTCTTGCCACTTGGGGCATTCCCGCTTTGGGTATTGCCACTTGGGGGGTCCCCACTTGGAGACTTAAAGGCCTTGCTACGCTTGGGGGTCTTGGCACTGAAATATGTGAGGCCGCTGAAGGGCCTCTTGGTAGTGTCGTTGGCCTCACCCCCTTCACTAAATGGGGTGTTGTCGTTAGCACCAGCATCCGCACCAGCAGCAGCAGCAGCAGCAGCAGCAGCAGCAGCAGCACCCACAGCAGCACTAGCACGAGAAGGGAGGAGGGAAGTTGAGTGTGTTGCAATAGACAGAGGAGAGGGACGAGGGGAGGGGTGGGGGGATAGATTAGGGCCGGGATAAGCGGGGGGGGAGAAGGCACTGCGAAGAGCAGGGCTGACTCGAGAATCAACAGCAGCGTCAGAACGAACAGCAGCGTCAGAACGAACAGCTGTAGCAGCTGCTACAGCTGAGGACGAGTAAGGTAAAGGAGCATACTCGTTAAGAGGCGCCTCAGGACGAGCTGTGAAGGAGGTAGGAAGGGAGAGGCGGAGGCGAGGGGAGGAGGGGAAGTGATGGCTGGGGAGGGTGCTGTTGATGGGAGGAGATGGGGATGGGGACGGGGGTTGGACTGCTGCTACTGCTGCTAGCACTGCTGCTGCCGCTGCTGTTGCTCCAGCCACGACGGACTCTGCTGGGACGGCTGCTGCTGGAATGGCTGCTGCTGCTGCTGCTGCTGAAACTGCCGGGCTCCGAGGCACAACAGAGGCTGCTGGTGGGACGGCTGCTGGAATGGCTGCTGCTGCTGCTGCTGCTGTTGCTGTTGCGCCAGCCACAACGGACTCTGCTCGTACAGCCTCTCTTTGGGCGTCGGTGGGAGCACAGCCGGCAGTGATTGTTGGATTAGCAAGCCCAGGATCAGGCTGAACGCCAGGTTGACTTTCACCTGAACCTGCCACCTCACCAGCAACGTATTCAGAAGCTTCAGGTGCCGCTTCAGGTGCTTCAGGTGGCACCTCCGGTGATAGTTCCGTTTTCCCTTCAAGTGCTCCTTCAGGTGCTTTTTCAGGTGCTGTTTCTTCATCACTCATAACAGTGAACAGGAAGGGGGCTGTGCGAATCGTGGTGAAGGAGAGAGGAGAGTTGCCAGAGGAGAGCCGAGGGGCAACAGAAGGGAAGGAGAGAGTGCGTGGAGGAGAGTGGGTGTGGGAGGAGTGAGTGTGGGAGTAGTGAGTATGAGGGTAGTGAGTGTGAGAGTAGTGAGTGTGGGAGGAGGAGGTAGTATCAAAGTCATTGGTATTGAAGGGGTTGGGATGGGTGGAGTTGGTGTGCAGGGAGTGGGTGCGAGGGGGCGAGAAGGAGCGGAGGCGGGAGAGGGGGAGGGAGAGGCAGGAGGAGGAGGCGCAAGTGGAGGGGGAGAAAGGGGTGGTGGGGAAGGAGGGGGACTGAGGGGGTGGGGAGGAGGGCGAGTGTGCCGAGGCGGAGGAAGGGGAGGGAGGGGCGGAGGACGGGGAGTGAGGCGCGGGGGAAGGGGAGTGAGGGGCGGTAGAAGGGGAGTGAGGGGCGGAGGAAGGGGAGTGAGGGGCGGTAGAAGGGGAGTGAGGGGCGGAGTTTGCGTGAGGGCCGGAGGAAGGTGAGTGATTGGCAGAGGGGAAGTCAGGAGATATGGAGATGGCGTGTGAGAGGGCCTGGGACGTGGCTCCAGCAAGGGAGGCATCTCCTGTCAGGGAAACGTCTGCTACCAGGTAGGTGGTGTGTGGTGGGGCGGAGGAAGGGGAGTGGGGGACGGAGGAAGGGGAGTGAGGGACGGAGGAAGGGGAGTGGGGAGCAGCAGAAAGGTCAGGAGAAATGGAGATGACGTCTGAGAGAGCTTGGGACGTGGCTCCGGCAAGGAAAGCCTCTCCTGTCAGGGAAGCATCTCCTGTCAAGGAAGCATCTCCTGTCAAGGAAGCATCTCCTGTCAGGGCTCCGTCCTCAATCAGGGGTCCGCCTTCTGTCAAGGAAGCATCTCCTGTCAGGGAAGCATCTCCTGTCAAGGAAGCACCTCCTGTCAGGGCTCCGTCCTCAATCAGGGGTCCGCCTTCTGTCAAGGAAGCATCTCCTGTCAGGGAAGCATCTCCTGTCAAGGAAGCATCTCCTGTCAGGGCTCCGTCCTCAATCAGGGGTCCGCCTTCTGTCAAGGAAGCATCTCCTGTCAAGGAAGCATCTCCTGTCAAGGAAGCATCTCCTGTCAGGGATTCACCTTCAGCCAGGGGGGCATTTTCCGTCAGGGGTCCGTCTTTAGTCAGAGGGGCATTTTCTGGCAGGGACGTGAGCGGGAGAGAGGCGGGGGAGTGAGGCGAGGCGGAAGTAGCAGGTGCTGAGCCGATCAGAGGCGTTGAGCCGACCAGGGGCGTTGAGCCTTGAACCAACTCTGACGGGCCTTCTCCTCGTGCTGCACTAGGTAGCCCTTGCACTGACTCAGCAGCAGCAGCTGCTGCTGCTGCTGCAGAGTTGACAAGCCTCGCCTTGAGGCGCCTCAGCACCTGCTCCACTCTCGCCACCCTCTCCTGCTCCTCCTCCAGCCCCTGCTGCATCTCTCCCCCTGCTTCCTCCGCCTGCTTTTCTCCCCCTGCTTCATATTCCCCTCTCTGCTCTTCCTCTCTCTGCTCTTCCTCTCTCTGCACTTCCCCTCTCTCCACTTCGCCTCTCCCTACTCCCTCCCCCGCTTCCTGCCTCCCCAGCTGCATCCTCACTCGTCTCAGCAGCATGCCAACGAGTCGCACTCTCTCAATCACGTGTGCCGCCGCCGTGTCACGTGTGCCTGAATCTGCTCGTTCCGTCGTTTCTTTGTCGTTTTCCACTTTCTCGCCTTTTTCCATCTCGCCCCTTTCTGACACACTGCCCCTCTCCTCCACCACATCCTCTCTGGCATCTTCTCCACCCGGTGTCTCCTCTGCACCAGGACCTGATACCCCAGACCCTTTTCTACCATGCTCCATCGTGTCTTCTTGCTCCAACGCGTCTTCTTGCTCCAACACCCCCCTCCTCTCCGTCGCATTCCCTTCCCCCACCATCCACACTACGTCACAATTCAAGTCCTCCAGTCCCTCGCTGCCCCTCTCCACCATTCCTCCAATCTGCTTCTGAGTCGACTCAACAGCGTTCCGTTCCCCGGCCATCCCCACTACTTCAACATCAAAGAGCTCCGCTCCCTCTCTGCCACTCTCCACCATTCCTCCAATCTCCGCTCCCTCTGCTGCACTCCCCAATCCACCCACTTCAGCAGAATAACCCGCCTCGTCAGAGCCCTTTTCAGGCAACTCAAAGAACACCTGCTCACTGCTATACGGGCTTTCAAACCCCTCTTGAGTCGACTCAAACGACAGCGCTTCAGAAGTATCAGGGCTCTCAGCAGCTGCCTCTGCATATTCTAATGCGAGCTGGTCAGCTGTGGCTGCTGCTGCTGCCATCTCTTCTGCCTCTCTTGCTCCCTCCCCTCCTGCTGCTGCTACTGCTGCTGGCTCTTCTCCTGCCACAGCTGCTGCTGCTGCTGCTGCTGCTGCTGCTATCGCTTCTGTGTCTGCTTCACCCACAGATTCTGGTCCTACGTCTGTTTCTGCGCCTGCTATTGAGGCGACGGTAGACGTATCCACTTCTATTTCTGTTTCACCTGCTCTTTCTCCTACTTCTGCTGCGCACAGGCGCGTAACTCCGTCTACTGCCTCTGCACCTGCCGCCGTCTCCCCTCCTGGCACTTCCCCCATGGTTTTTGCCACCGCGGAACCGTCAGAGCATCGTCCACCCTCTGCGCTCCCAGATTCAGCTTGACTCGGCATCGTCGCTTCTGCTCTCTTCTCCTCCCCATCAGCTTCAGTTCTTTCTGCTGCTGTCTCGGCCTCCTCTTGTTCTTCCACCCTCTCCTCCTCTACACTCCCCTCTTCATTCTCCTCTACCTTCTCCTCTACCTTCTCCTCTACCTTCTCCTCTACCTTCTCCTCTACCTTCTCCTCTACCTTCTCCTCTACCTTCTCCTCTACCTTCTCCTCTACCTTCTCCTCTACCTTCTCCTCTACCTTCTCCTCTACCTTCTCCTCTACCTTCTCCTCTACCTTCTCCTCTACCTTCTCCTCTACCTTCTCCTCTACCTTCTCCTCTACCTTCTCCTCTACCTTCTCCTCTACCTTCTCCTCTACCTTCTCCTCTACCTTCTCCTCTACCTTCTCCTCTACCTTCTCCTCTACCTTCTCCTCTGCCTTCTCCTCTACCTTCTCCTCTGCCTTCTCCTCTGCCTTCTCCTCTACCTTCTCCTCTACCTTCTCCTCTGCCTTCTCCTCTGCCTTCTCCTCTACCTTCTCCTCTTCTTTCCCCTCTTCGCTCTCCTCTTCTGTCTCCTCCTCATCCACCCCATCCCCTCCCTCACACCTCTCCTCCTCCTCCTCTCCATCATCTCCTTCCTCTCCTCCATTTCCACCGCCATTTCCCACACCACCACTCCCCTCTCCACCACTCCCCCCTCCATCGGCTCCCCCTTTACCACTGCCATTTCCCAGAGCACCGCTCTCCTCTCCACCACTCCCCCCTCCACAATTCCCCCCTACTCCACTCCCCCCTCCACAACTCCCCCCTACTCCACTCCCCCCTCCATCGCTTCCCCCTTGACTTCCTCCGCCGCCTCCTCCCTGTCCACCTCTGCCCTCATCCTCCCCTCCTCCCTCCCTACCCTGTCCTCCACTTTCCCCCGCCCTCTCTCCCCCCTCCCAAGCTGCAGTAGGCCCCACCCGGCAACCTCCCTGCGCCATAGCCAGGGGCAGCTGCAGAGCCGCCCCAAACAAATTCTGCTTATGAAGCGCCTCGAATGGAGCAGCACCAGCGCGTGTGCTACCACCTGGCCCCACCTGCCACCCTCCCCGCGCCATAGCGAGGGGCAGCTGTTGGGCCGCCTCAAACGAATTCTGCTTCTGAAGCGCCTCAAAAGGAGCAGCACAAGCCAGCGCAGGCCCAATATGGAACCCTCCCCGCGCCATAGCCAGGGGCAGCATTGCCATGTGGTCGTCTTTATCCCACCCTCCACAGTCACTTTCTCTGCTGTCACAAACATCCCCCATTCTCCCCATTCCCCCAAGAGAGCAGCACGAGCCCACTCCCATCCCCCCCTCCCCTGCATCCCCGCCCACATCCAAGCCCACTCCCATCCCCCCTACCCCTGCACCCCCGCCCACATCATCCTTATCAGCAACGCTCCCACTCTCTTCCACTCGAGTAGGCTCCTCAGGCGGCTCAAAGGTTTCTTTCTCATGCGCCCAGCTCATATCTCCCAGACCCTCAGGGAGTGACTGCGCTCCTCGGGCAGGCGCCAGGAGTGGGTGCTGGTCGACGGGGAAAGGGGAGCCAAGGGAGGGGGTTATGGCAAGCGACAAGGGGATGTGACGGGCACCATAGGGCGAATGGAGGGGCACGCTGGGATCGGGGTGGTGGAGGGGCAAGCTGGGGTGGTGGCGGTTGTGGTGGTGGTGGGGTAAAGGCAGGCCGTTTCTTTGCCTCTTGTGGCCTGTGAGAGGGGCGGAGGACGGTCGCCAGATGAGCGGAAAAGCTGCTCCTGTCACTGCTGTAGCTGCTGCTAGCGTTGATACTGCTAAGGTTGGTCCTGAGGATGGTCGCCAAATGGGCAGACGACCTGGTGCTGTTGATGGTCGTGCTGCTGCTGTTGCTGCCGGTTCTGCTGCTGCTGTTGCTGCCGGTTCTGCTGCTGCTGTTGGGGCCGGTGCTGGTGCTGGTGCAGGTGGTGGTGGTGCTGCTGCTGTTGTTGCTGTTGCTGGTGGTGTTAGTGCTGCTGGTGGTGTTGGTGCTGCTGCTGGAGTTGGTGCTGCTGCTGGAGTTGCTTCTGATGCTGCTGCTGCTGCAGCTGCTTCTGGCATCGCTAACCCCGTCTGTCTCTCCTCCCATTTCTCCCGCCTGGATCCCCCCACCACCCCAGCAGCCTCTAGTAACGCCGTGAGCGTTATTATGTCCAGGATCGGCGAATCCCCGCTCGCCAGCTCAGCATCTCCTTCCATCTCCAGCCACTCACTCACCAAGCTTTGCAAGTCCCTGCATCGCCCGCTTCCCTCCTCTTCTTCCCTCTCATCACCATCCACATTCAAACTCCCTCCTCTCCCTCCCCTCGCCACCTCCCTCCTCTCTCCCTCCTCCCTCTCCCCCCCCCCTCCTCCTCCTCCTGCTCCTCACTCAATCTCACCAGCCCCTCACTCCTCACCAAACCCTCTCCACGACTTCGCTTGCTGCTCCCCCCGCCGCTTCCCTTCCTTCTCTCAGGCAAGGCCTCTAAGGCTTCACTCCTTCCTTGACGCGCCTTCCGTTCTGTGGCAGCGGGACTGCTCCTGCTCACCTCATTGCTGCTCCTCCCCTCAGTGCTCCTCCCCTCAGTGTTGCCCTTGCCCAAGTCACCATGAGCCCTGCTCGTGCTACCTCTGCCGAACCACCCCCTGCCACTGCGTCCGCTCCCAGCCGTGCTGGGGCTCCCCTCAGTACCCCTCCCATCGCTGCTACCACGGGGGTGACTGCTTAATATCCTGCTGCTGAAGCTCCCACCAGTGCTGCCCTCATCGCTACCCCTTGCATTCACGCTGCTACTAAGCACGTGGCTGCTATGTCTTCTGCTGCTGCGGCGCCCACCAGTGCTGCTCTCATCGCCACCTCCTCCATTCACGCTGCTACCAAGGGCTCGGCTGCTTAATCTCCTGCTGCTGTATCTCCTGCTGCTGTGGACGCCCCCACTAGCGCTGCTGCCGTGTCTACTGCTGCTAACCCCAATACCTGTGTGTTTATGAGTCGGCTCATGATTCGATGGACCAGACACCGCCGTGCCCAGCCCAGGAAATCTATACTCTTCCCTTCCTACGTCTTCCATACCCTCCCGCGCAAAGCCACCCCCTTGCCTTCTCAGCAAGCCTTTCTGCTGCTCTGCACCTCCCTCCTTCAAGTCACCCCCTCGCACACTCAACCCACTTTCCTGCCACTCTGCTCCTCCTCCTTGCTTCAAAACGCCCCTTTGCCTCAACAGGCCCACGCCCCACCCGTAGCTCACCCCCTCTGCAGGCCCCTCAAAAGCGTCTTTCCCTTCACTCTGACGGTGGTTAGAATCTCCTTGCGTCACGGCGCTCCCTTGCCGCCTCACGAGCCCCACGCCCCAGCCATAGCTCACCCCCTCTGGGAGCTCTTCCAAAGCTTCCTGCCCTGCACACTGACCATGATTTGAGCTTTGTCCTTGAGACGACCAGGACGCTTTTTGAGAATTCTCACATTTGGCAGCAGTCTCACTCCCATACCCGCTGCTGCTGCCTCTGAGCCTGAGAGGGGCGTGCCATGCTGCGTGGTTCCTCTCCCCATCCAAGGCGTTTGGAGGGAGGCTAAACTCGCTGAAGCTGCTCACCCTGCTGCTGCCCACAGCCATGCCGGAATCTATGGACCTGCTCACGGCTGACGCAGCACTGGCCGGTTCGCTGCTACAGCCGGACCCTGCTACACCTGCTGTGGCAGCAGCACCTGCGTGGGTGCCCCCTGCTATGGATGAGGTTCTTCGGATTCTGGAATCAGCCGGAGAAACGGCTGAGTTAGGCGTTCGAGAGGATAGAGAGCGGTTCAGGGGAGATATTGGGTGGTACAGGGAGAAAGGGCGGGCTAGAGAGTGGGCAGTGGAGGCGGGGGTTTTGAGGCAGGAGTGGGGGAGAGAGGCTGGCGTGGTGAGGCGAGAGCAATGGTTGGAGGACGAAGGGGTGGTGGTGGTGGTGGAAAACGGGGGGAGATGGAAGGGAAAGGGGAAGGGGAAGGGGAAAAGCGACGGAGAAGGAGAAGGGGATTGGTATTGAGATGCCGGAGGGTGGATGGGTGCCGCACTGGGCGTGTTAATAACACCAGAGGTCACACCTCCTGGAGACACACCTCCTAGAGTCACACCACCTGCACCCGCTTCTTCGCTGCTCGATTCAGTCATCATTTCCCCTCCGTCTCTCATTTTCTCTCTCTCCCCTTCCGTGCCCGCCTCTCCCTTCCTCTCTCTGTTTCCTGCTTCCTTTCCTTCGCTGTTCCTCGCGCCCTTTCCCACGTCCCGCTTCTCCTCATTGACCCGATGCCCCTCCTGCCCCTCCTCCTCCTCCTGCTCCTCCTCCTCCTCCTGCTCCTCCTGCTCCTCCTGCTCCTCCTGTTCCTCCTGCTCCTCCTGCTCCTCCTGCTCCTCCTGCTCCTCCTGCTCCTCCTCCTCCTCCTGCTCCTCCTGCTCCTCCTGCTCCTCCGCTTGTCCTTCCCCAAACCTTCCCATAAACGCGTGAAACAACAGCGGCGGCGGCTGCAGCAACGTGAAAGCACACTCGCCCTTTCCTCTCCCGAACACCATCCCTCCCCCAGCCCCTTCCTGTCCTGCTGCGCCTCTTCCCACTACCGGCACCAGCGGTGGCGGCTGCAGCAACGTGAACGCGTGCTCTCGCCTTCCTCCTCCTAGTACCATCCCTCCCCCAGCCCCTTCCTGTCCAGCTGATGCCGTCCCCTCTAACGGCAACAGCGGTGGCGGCTGCAGCAATGTGAAAGCGCGCTCTCGCTTTCCTCCTCCGAACCCCACCCCTCCTCCTGCCCCTTCCACTCCTGCTGCAGCACCCCTACCCTCGGAGCTCACTCGCCTCATTCCCCGAGGGTGCTTTCGCTCGCTGTCCACCCCTGAGGTGTTTGCCCCTGCACTTGCTGCCACTACGCCTGAACTACTCGCAGCCACCACCCCTGCACTCTTCACCACTCCCCCTGTGCAACCGACTGAAGCGACGCCTGTCTGAAGCACATCGACTGGGCCTATCAGCGTCTGCTTCACCCGCTCATCACCAGCATCATCCACGTTCCCTCTTATGTCTTCCTCACGCTCTGCTATTACAACTCGGTCTACATCCGCAGCATTACCCACATCATTTTCTTCACAAGTTCCCTCTGTCCGCCCCTTACGCTCCTTCTCCCATTCCTCTTCCTCCCCTTCGTTCCCCCTCTTTGAACGATCGCCGGTCTTAAAACCGTCACCTTCAGTTAAAACTCCACAGACCTCCTTCTCTGCTGCTGCTGCCTCTGTCCGTGCTGCTACCTCTGCCCCTGCCGCTGCCTGCTCTGCTCTGATGCTCAATTTCCCTGGCTCTTTCACCCTCAGTGCCCTATGCCCCTGGCCCTGGCCATATGTCTCTCTATGTTCCCTTCCGTGCGTCCGTCTGTGCGGCACTAACTGCCCCTCCGCTGCTCTGTGCCCCTGCTGTGCGCCCGCCATTGTCAGCGCCTGCACCGCAAGAGCCTCGAATACACTCGGGGACGGGCTGCGGTGGGTGTTAAGGATGGGTAGAGGCAAGAGAGGGACAGGGTGCAGGGGGAATAGAGCGAGGGAGGACACGAAAAGAGTAGTGGGAAAGGGGGAGGCGGCGTGAGAGGACTTTCACAAAGTCCAGATTCAGACAGCGTCAGTGTACGTGCGTGAGTCTGTGCGAATCTACGTGTGTGCGTGAAAGAAAGGAAACGAGGGGTGCAGCGGCTGATGGCGCTTCAGAAGCGGATGGTCGGGGAGATACGCGGCTGATACGCCAGTGCGTCTTACATGTGCGGTTGCTGCCATTGGTGGCACACTCCTCGAGGTTGAAGGTAGCTCGGCGCGCAGTGACCGTAGTACGAGTCCCGAGCTTGCAGGTGAGAGCACCCCATGCTCCCCGAGGCAGGAGGAACGGGACGGAGAGTGGGAGGAACGGACGGAGGCTCGGCAGACAGCAAGCTCCTGAGTTTGCTCAGGTTCGGCAGGCAAGGTGGGGAGTCGTGCGACGGCGAGGGGTGGGTCTTGCTGTTGGTTTGCCAAGGCGACGAGGATGTCGTGGGGGAGGGAGGTGGGGAAAATATGAGGTGCGGGGGGGAGAGGAGGGAAATAAGCGGGGGAAAAAAAGATGGGAAAAAGCATGTCAGTGTGGAGTTGTTAAGAACAATGGGTGAGCTGACAATAGTAGCAGAATCGCCATCCCGAAATGAGGAGAGGATGTAGGTACATCGTGGCAAGAAGGTGATCAGACCGCTTACTTCTGGACGTTAACGAGTTGGCGTATAAGAGACGCAACGGTCGTCCTGGACACGTGGCGAGACAGCTGTTTATCCGATGCTGCGACAGCTCCCTCCCGCTTATGAGACGACCGTTGCGACGACGCGCCTTCGCGACATCGCGAGGACGATTCAGTAACATCGTTAATAGCTGGAACTGTGGTCATAGCTAAGTAAGCTCAACGAAAAGGCTTCAAGAACGAATGGTTAGAACCTAAGCCCGTCGGCCATGTCAGTTTTCGATCTTGCCGCGACGCGATCGAGGGAGAAGCAGGCCTATGATATATGTCACCACCGTCCGCGACGTGATCTCGAGATAAGTTTAGGCATTAAGTTACTGTTAGTGTTTACAAGCTCATAATAGCAGCTGAGAACTGATTTCATCTCCTTTCCCCCTCGCCCCCGTTCTTGTGATCTTCCCCTCCATCAAGCTCGTTGAAAAGAAAGCTTCCTGACTTGTGTGTCAGGAGCAGCAGTCACTTGTAACATTTTCGCCCTCAGCACCAGCAGTAGCAAGCAGTCATTTGAGTTCCCAAGGTCCTGCGGTTTGGGAACCTTGAGACTACCGCAGAATGTTGCTCCGAGCCTGGGTGACAGACTTGAATGAGGGCTCAAAGATTCCGTGGTTGCTTGCGATTGGTTGAGAGGTGATAATACGACGCTGCACCGGAGCCAAGGCCACGACGCAGGCCTGGTCGGAGCTTCGTCAGGGCTCTCCACAGGCTTTCGTAGGTAGAGGTTACATTGTCTCGCAAAAGAGCTTCGCGAATTTCTCGTGATCAGGCACTTGTTGATCGTGCCAAGTGGTACCAGGAAGGCTTTTCGCAACAGATTCGCGAACGGTCTTGGGCTTTCGTGCACTCGCCACGAACAGGGGCTGCTCACGTCGCAGCCCGGAGGTTTGGTCAGAACCTCCTTCGGAGCGCTATAGTTTGCACGACTCGACGACTAAACGAAAAGTCTTACCGAGATGTAGCAAATACACCTCGTGTTTTTCCAGACAGTTTGCCGAACTACCTAAAGATCTATAATATCAGATGTGCAATTACGATATAGGATTTCTAGCACTATAACTCGTTATAATGTAGGATTTCCACCCAAAAAGAAATTATCGAATTTGAAACTATCATGCTTACATTACATGCGAAAATCCTTACTCAGCTAACTCTGCTAACTCGAGCCACCTATCTGACTTAGCCTCGATGGACTTCGCCAGCACAGCAAGCTCGTCGGACAAACCTTGGAGGGCATCGAAGTCCCCTTGTCTGCTCTTCTCCTCAAGCTTCGCCTCGACCAATCCCTTCTTCTTCTCCAACTTTTCTATCTCCTGCTCCAAGCGCTCCCACTCCTTCCTCTCCATATAAGACATCTTCCGGGCCGACTTCCCTTTCGTCTTATTTCCACCTGAAACCCTGGCCACATCAGCTTCCTCCTCGGCCTTCCTCTGCTCATCGGCTCTCCTCTTCCCCTCCGCCTCCTTCCTCCTCTCCTCCTCCGCCCCCTTCTCCTTTTCCTTCTCTGCTTTCTGCTCCCGAGCGTCAGCCAGATATTCCGAGAACAGCCCGTCAAAGAGCAACACCTGTCCGTTGCCCTCCAGCACGAATTGGCGGTCGACCACCGCGTCCATGAAGGCTCGGTCATGAGAGGCAACTAGCAGACAGCCCTCGTAGGAAGCGAGGAAAGACTCCAGGGCCTGGACAAGGAGCAACAGAAGGGAATCAAAACGGCAAGTCAATACTGCAAATGAAACTGAGTACAAGGCGTTGAAGAGGCCTGCCCATCCCTCTCTGCTGCACAAAAAGGTGGTCGCCCACCGCATCGCGTGAGGGGAGGACGAGCAGACAGCCCTCGTAGGCCGAGAGGAAGGATTCCAAGGCGTGGCAAGGAACAACCGGAGGAATACAATGGCAGTCGAGTGGGAACACAGCCACATGCGTATGCGCGTGCATAGAAGCTGTACCTCAACGTGCATAGAAGCTGTACCTCAACGTGCATAGAAGCTGTACCTCAGCATGCATAGAAGCTGTACCTCAACGCGCATAGAAGCCGTACCTCAACGTGCATAGAAACCGTACCTCAACGTGCATAGAAGCTGTACCTCAACGGTCGGTAGGTCCAGGTGGTTGGTTGGCTACCACCCTCCAGGTGGTTTGTGGGTTCGTCCACAAGTGTCCGTTGGGTCTGCTTTTGAGTCAACTCAAAAGCAGTGGTTGGTGGGTTGGTCCAGAAGTGTTTGTTGGGTCCTGGTTAGCACAAGGAAGTTGGGCCGCACAGAGCATACGGGGCTACACGTACAGTACACACAAAAGTGCAGACGCACACCTCGATGGTTTGTAGGTCCAGGTCGTTGGTTGGCTCGTCCAGCATGAGGAAATTGGGTCTTTGTGCCAGCACTGCTGCCAGCAGCAGCCTTCGTTTCTCCCCCCCACTCAGCTTGGAAGCCCTGATCAGCGTGTGTGCATGGAGGGGGGGGGGAGAGGAGAGATGGGAGGAGGAGCAACAGTGATATGTGTGAAATGGTGGGTTCATCGAGCATGAGGAAATTGGGTCTTTGCGCCAACACTGCTGCCAGCAGCGGTTAGTTTCTTCTCCCCACTCAGCTTGGAAGCCCTGATCAGTGTGTGTGTATGGGGGCGAGGAGAGATGTGTTTTGAGTTGACTAAAAAAACACCTGATCAGCGTGTGTGCATGGGGGGGGGGGGAGAGGAGAGGTGGGAGGAGGAACAACAGTGATATGTGTGAAATGGTGGGTTCGCGTCGAGCATGAGGAAGTTTAGCGCCACCACTGCTGCCAGCAGCAGCCTTCGTTTCGCCCCCTCTCAGCTTGGAAGCCCTGGTGTGTGCGTGTGTGTGAGTGTGTGTGGGTGTGTGTGGGTGTGTGTGGGTGTGTGTGGGTGTGTGTGGGTGTGTGTGGGTGTGTGTGTGTGCGAGTGTGTGGGAGTGTGTGTGGGTGTGTGGGTGTGTGGGTGTGTGTGTAGGAATGAGTGTGTGTGGGTGTGTGTGTGCGTGCGAGTGTGTGTGTGTGTGCGAGTGGGTGGGAGTGTGTGGGAGTGTGTGTGGGTGTTTGTGTGTGTATGCGAGTGTGTGTGGGAGTGTGTGTGGGTGTGTGTGTGTGTGTGTGAGTGCGTGTGGGAGTGTGTGTTTGTGAAGACAGAAAATGTATAGCACGAGCAGCAGACACAGGGGCCTACTGACGGACAGGAAGGGGAGAAGGTCCAACATGGAAAGGCCACAGTGAGAAGAACACGGAGGCTGGAGGAAATCGCACTAGCTTTACTGGCACGGGCAACAAGGGAGAATGCGGAACTCACCAGGCATACTGCTTGCTTAGCTCGGGGGAAAGAAGATTTGTCTTAGGAAGTCTCAAAGCACTAGCTTTCCTGACATGGCCATGCGGAAGCGGAACTCACCACGCATACTGTTTAGCTCGGGGGAAACCAAACCGCTCCAAAAGCTCCGAAGCAGAAACAGGCTCGGCCGAGCCACTCCCTCCAGAACCAGAGGCAGAACCCGCACCACCACCAGCACCACTACCAGCACCAGCAGCAGCAGCAGCAGCAGGGATGGAGCCCCAGGAGCCGAGAACAGCCGCCATGGGGTTGAAATTTTGAACGAAGTCGAGCACCCGCATGTTGTCCGGTATGGGCGGCATGTGCTGCGTGTAGTACCCCATCACCACTGTCTCGCCCATGTCTCTCGTGCCAGAGGGGAGAGGCAGCAGACCTGCTAGGGCGTCAAGGAACTGAGGGGAAAGGGGAGGGAAGAGGGAAGGAGAGGGGGAAGGGGGGACGAGAAGGGGGGTGTGTGGTATGGGTGGCGTGTGCTGTGTGTAGTACCCCATCACCACCGGTACGCCTACGCCTCTGCTGCCCGAGGGGAGAGGCAGCAGACCTGCCAGGGCGTCAAGGAACTGAGGGGAAGGGGAGAGGGAAAGAGGGGGGGGGAGGGAGAGGGAAAGAGGGGGGGGGAAGGGAGAGGGAAAGAGGGGGGGGGGGGGGGGGAGAGGGAAAGAGGGGGGGGGGAGAGGGAAAGAGGGGGGGGGAGGGAGAGGGAAAGAGGGGGGGCAGGGAGAGGGAAGGAGGGGGGGGAGGGAGAGGGAAAGAGGGGGGGGGAGGGAGAGGGAAAGAGGGGGGGGGAGGGAGAGGGAAAGAGGGGGGGGGAGGGAGAGGGAAAGAGGGGGGGGGAGGGAGAGGGAAAGAGGGGGGGGGAGGGAGAGGGAAAGAGGGGGGGGAGGGAGAGGGAAAGAGGGAGGGGGAGGGAGAGGGAAAGAGGGGGGGGAGGGAGAGGGAAAGAGGGGGGGGGAGGGAGAGGGAAAGAGGGGGGGGAGGGAGAGGGAAAGAGGGGGGGGAGGGAGAGGGAAAGAGGGGGGGGAGGGAGAGGGAAAGAGGGGGGGGGAGGGAGAGGGAAAGAGGGGGGGGGAGGGAGAGGGAAAGAGGGGGGGGGAGGGAGAGGGAAAGAGGGGGGGGGAGGGAGAGGGAGAGAGGGGGGGGAGGGAGAGGGAAAGAGGGGGGGGGAGGGAGAGGGAAAGAGGGGGGGGGAGGGAGAGGGAAAGAGGGGGGGGAGGGAGAGGGAAAGAGGGGGGGGAGGGAGAGGGAAAGAGGGGGGGGGAGGGAGAGGGAAAGAGGGGGGGGAGGGAGAGGGAAAGAGGGGGGGGGAGGGAGAGGGAAAGAGGGGGGGGGAGGGAGAGGGAAAGAGGTGGGGGGAGTGAAAGGAATGGAGGTAGAGAGATTGAAGGGAGACGCATGCAAACTAGTCGAGGCCGGACAGGCTATAACCACTGTGCTGAAGTCCGGCTGTGAGTCTGCTTTTAAGTCGACTCAAAAGCCGTCTGTGAGAGTTACGTGGATATAGAAGGACAAGAGGTGATCATTCACAAAAAAGAGAGGTATTCTGAATAACTCAAAACACGACACAAACCTTGGCTTAGGAGAGTAGGGCGCTTACTGTGGTTTTCCCAGCCCCGTTTCGCCCCACCACTCCCAGACGATCCCCGCGACCAAACTCATAGCTGTATGGGGGGGGGGATGGGGAGAGAGACGGAGGAGAGGGGGGGAAGAGACGAGGGGTTACCAGATGTTACGGGGATTCAGGACACCTACCACCACTCCCAGCCGATCCCCCCGACCAAACTCATAGCTGCGTGGGGGAGGAGGGGGTGAGGGGAAGGGAGGAGGGATGGGGAGGGACGAGAGGGGGAGAGACAAGGGGAAGAGGGGGAGGAGAGGTGCAGGGAGAGGGGTTACAAGATGTTACAGGGATACAGAACACCTACCACCCTATGATTACAACCCCATCTGATAAGCATGGCCCAACCTATAAGCACACCCCCACACTATAAGCACACCCCCACAATATAAGCACACCCCCACACTATAAGCACACCCCCACCTTTCCCAGCACTCATGTGAACCTCTCAAACACAGTTCTCCTCTGCCCTCTCTCACCCGCTGCATCTTAAAACCACACATCCGCCCTGCTGTGACGATCCCCCTTTCCTCCCCACCAGAATCCCCCTTTCCCTCTCGAGCTGCTCACGAGAATCCTTCATACACGGTCGTCTGCATCCCTCAACTCTGTCACTTTCACACTCAATCACGGCCGTTGCATCCCTTAACTCCAACACCTTGTTTTGAGGCGCCTCAAAACTGGCCGTTGCATCCCTTAACTCCAACACCTTCGCACCCGGTCTCGCCTCCCACATACCCATCTCCACCCACCATATCACCTCTCGAGCCACCCTACAGACACATCCACCCCTCCAGACACACCCCACTCACGTGAACCCTTCAAAGGCGGTGTTCCACCCTCTCATGGCTGTTGCATCCCTCAACTCCATCACCTTCCCACCCAGCCTCGCCTCCCCCATAAACAAGAATCACAAACCACCCTATAGGCTATACCCTCGCCCCCATCCTTCCCCACACTCACGTGAACCCTTCAAACACGGTGTTCTGCCCCCTCATGGCCGTTGCATCCCTCAGCTCCATCACCTTCCCACCCAGCCTCGCCTCCCCCATACCCATCTCCACCACACTCCCCACCGCCTGCTGCTGCTGCCGCTGCCGCTTCTCCGCTGTCGCTTTAGTAAGCGACAGAAACCGGTCAATTCTCGACCGGGACTTAGTAGATCTCGCCTTCGGCATTCGACTCATCCATTCCCCTTCCCGCCGCAGCGTGTTCGCTGCCCGGCCAATCGCGGCTGCTTCTTCGACCGCCCGCTTCGCCCGGGCAGCCAAAAAGTTTGAGTAGTTGCCCGAGTGGCGGAAGGAGGAGCCTCGGTCGATCTCGAGCATTTCGGTGCAGACGGCGTCGAGGAAATAGCGGTCGTGGGAGACGAGGACGACAGTGAGAGAGGGATCTGAGAGGGCGGACTGCATCCAATCAATGACTGCCACGTCCATGTGGTTGGTGGGCTCCTGGAGAGGGGTGAAAGGGAGAGAATTGAAGCAGAAATGAAGCGAGAGGGATGATGAGAGGGAGGGGTGAGAGAAGTAGAGAGCAGGCTGATTGCATCCAATCAATGGCTGCCACGTGCATGTGCATGTGGTTGGCGGGCTCCTGGAGGGGTGAAAATGTTTCGTTTCGAAGAAAAAGAGGGGAAAGCGTGGTGTGCTGTTGCCCACTCGCTCAGCTGGTGGAGATGGGCTCGATTGCACCAATCAATGACCACCACGTCCATGTGGTTGGTGGGCTCCTGGAGGGGGCTGGGGAGGGAGGGAGGAGAAAGGAGAATGAGAAACAGGGAAAAAGGTTCTAAATAACTTACACAAGAAATGGTCAAGTAAGTCAAAGGAATAAATAGGCAAAAACATCCACTCACGTCGAGAATTATGAACTCTGGTTTCACCAGCATTTGAGTCGACTCAAAGGTCCACTCACGTCGAGAATGATGAGCTCTGGTTTCGCCAGCAGCGTCGCAGCCAGCGCCACCCGCTTCCTCTGCCCTCCGCTAAGCGACGAAACTTGCCGCTCCGTGATTCCACCACCACCACCACCACCACCACCATCACCGTTCACAGCATTAGCAGCACCGCTGTTGACACCAGCAGCACCATTGTTGACCACAGCATCCCCAAGGCCCAGGATGTCCAGCAGCTTCTCTGCCTCTGCCACCACGTCCCACGCCCCCATCGCCTCCACCCCATCCATGGCTCTCTGCAATGCAGCAATGTCCGACGGGCTGGGCTCTGGTGGAGGTGAGGTAGAAGAAGGGGGGGAAGGGGGGACAGGGTTCAGGACGGGTTTTGGGTATAGGCTCCTGAAGTAAGGCTCTCTGCCTCTGCCACCACGTCCCATGCGCCCATCGCATCCACCCCATCCATGGCTCGCTGCAGCGCTGCTCTGTCCGACGGGCTGGGCTCTGGTGGAGGCGAAGGGGTGGGAGGGTTAAGGAAGTGCATGTAAATCTCTCTGCCTCTGCCACCACGTCCCATGCCCCCATGGCCTCCACCCCATGCATGGCCCTCTGCAGCGTCGCTATGTCTGACGGGCTGGGCTCTGGTGCAAACGGGGGAGATGGGGGGTACAGGGGATGTAAGCCTCTCTGCCTCTGCCACCACGTCCCATGCCCCCATGGCCTCCACCCCATCCATGGCTCGCTGCAGTGCTGCTATGTCCGGCGGGCTGGGCTCTGGCGGAGAAGGGGAGGGGGGAGGGGGGAGGGAGGGAAGGGGGGGGGGGGGGGGGGAGGGGGGACAGGATTCAGGACGGGTTTTGGGTATAGGCTCTGGTGTAAGGCTCTCTGCCTCTGCCACGCTGCTCTGTCCGATGGGCTGGGCACTGGCGGAGAGGAGGGAGGGGGAGAAGTGGAGGAAGGGGATGAGTGAGCAGGTGAATGTGGGATGAGTGAGCAGGTGAATGTGGGATGAGTGAGCAGGTGAATGTGGGATGAGTGAGCAGGTGAATGTGGGATGAGTGAGCAGGTGAATGTGGGATGGGAAATGCCTCTATGCCTCTGCCACCCCACCACCCCCCATGCCCCCATCGCCTCCAACCCAACCATGGCTCTCTGCGAGGCTGCTAGCCTTGGCGGGCTGGGCTGTGGTGCAAAAAGGAGGGGGGGTAGGTAGGCAAGACAAGGGGATGTATGAGAGGGTTAATGTGGGATGTGCGAAATCAATAGGAAAGAATCGATGCCTCTGCCACCGACCCCCATGCCCCCATCGCCTCCAACCCATCCATGGTTCTCTGCAAGGCTGCTAGCCTTGACGAGCTGGGCTCTCTGGTGCCAATGACGGAAAGTGAGGGTTCAGGGTTTAGGGTTAGATATCAGGTTTCGGGTTTCCGGAAAGCGGGGAAGTGTAAGGTTCACTGTTTCTCCCCTTGCACACTCCCCTCTCACACACCCCCCTCTCTCACTCCCCCCTCTCACACACCCCCCTCTCTCACTCCCCCCTCTCACACACCCCCCTCTCTCACTCCATAACATTCTCTCCTCTGCCTTCTGACTTCTTCCCCCCACTCACCTCTCCCCTTCATCCTCTGGGCCGCCCTCTCATAGTCTCTCACAGCGCGCATGGCAGCATTGTCGGCTGAGAGCACCGCGTCGAGCAGCGAGAGCGAGCCAGGCAGGTCGGGGTCCTAGCAGCATGGGTGGGAGGGGCGGGTGCAAGAAAGAGCCTTCTTGAGTGTCCTTCCGGGCCGTCCCTCACAGCGCGCATGGCAGCATTATCTGCTGAAAGTACTGCGACCAGCAGAGAAACGCCAGGTTCGTCAAATCACCTGGGCGAGAAACGCCAGGTTCAGTTGGCGCCTGCGCTGCACCTTGCCCTTATCAGGAGCCTCCATCCCCGCTAGTATCCTCAGCAATGTGCTTTTACCGCAGCCGTTCCGCCCCAGCAGACCAAGCTTCTGCCCTCTGCTTATAGTCACATCCAGCCCCTCAAAAAGCACATCCATTCCGAAGCTCTTCACCAGCCCTTCCCCCGTTATAAGCGCCTCACCGCCTCCGCTTCCGCCGGGCCTAGGCGCAGCGGGCGCGGAACTGGCGGAAGCGGAGGATCCCGCGGAGGCATTGGTCGCCGCTGCAGCGGTCGTAATCCGGCTAGAGCGGGATTGCCCCGTATTGAGGCTGTTGCGCGCGGGGGAAGCGGAGGCGGAAGCGGAGGGGAAAGCGAAGGGGGAAGCGGAGGATCCGCGCACTCCCCCGGGTGCGCCTGCCGCCGCAGCGGTCACAGTCCAGCGAGAGTAAGACTGTCTGTTACCGAAAGGCCGAGAAACATCTTGCAATGACAGCGGCGCTAAGACGATGCTAGTACCAGACATAAGCCTTGTGGTAGACATGAGGCCATTGGGAAAAAAAGAGCAGCTGTTGGAAGTGAGGCTACAGTTAGACATCATTCCAACGGTCGCGAATCGAGGAGTGGGTTTACCCCGCAGACGCCTCGAGAATCTCTTGAGGAAAGGTGGCGAAAGGGAGCGGCTCGAGCGACAGTGCCAGTGGCTGTTGGTCTGGTTCCTACGGCTGTTCGTAATGACAGGTTTCAAGGATTTGTAGGTTTATCACAACAGGGAACTATGTTCCGTTCTGTGCATTCCTAGGCTGAAATTGTGCACTGGTTTGTCCTTTTCCCATGCAACATATGAGCGAGCGGAAAATGCTACTACTAGCAATAGTTCAGACGAGGAGCCCAGTATCGTGTATGGGGAACGGCTTTTTGCCACAGCCGAAGTTCGCGCCTGGGGACATTTTGCTTCCTCGACGTTTGAAACTGCAATCCAACCCTTGATTTCCAACCCGCTGAAATCTGATGGCCCACAGTCAATTTCAACGAGTTCAGCCGAGATATCCACGATAACCCAGGAAGCAGAGAGGCAGTGGGGCTGTACGTTTTGTCTAGTTACCCGTTTTTCGTGACGCCAACTCGTTTCGCCGATGGTAGGTTGCTGTACAGCATTGATTCGCGTTCCAACAAGGAAAAGGCCAGGATCCAGTCAAGGCAGCCAAAATCTCTCCACCCCACCACCTGACCTGACCTGAGCCACCACTAGATGATTCCAGTGAAACCCTAGCCACCAGATCGAACCTTTTCTCTTGACCAAGTGACGAGCCTGCTTATGCCGAGCTTGGTGAGCTCGGCTGAGGGAGCCACATTCCCTCGAGCTTGCCGAGCTCGGCCGAGCCTGTTTTTCGAACCTAGGGTTTCCCCAAGAAGTACCTGTTCAGCGAGCCACCAGGTGCTGCCGAACCGTGAACGTTCGAATTCAGGCTTCCGAAGCAACACCAGGAGCCCCGCCGAGCCTCGAGACCTCCGTTCTTGCTATTGTCCTTTCCGCCCGTCCGTTACTCTACTCCAAAACTTTTCCTTGTGGGCGTACATTGTAGATTCCTAGGAGCCTAAAAGTACGTGCACAGTCGGTGACGACTCGGAGCGTCTCACGGTGTTCAGTAGATTATCAAGAACGGCAGAGTTAGCGTTATGGTGTCTGCTGGCTGGACGGACGGGCTTAGCCTTCTTGCATCTCAGTCTCCTCAAATCTTCGTCCATAGATGAGGCGGTTGCCGTTGCTTTAGCGGAGAATGTGTGGAGAATTCAGGGAAGCATCGCAGACCGAAGTAAAAGATGGCGACCCGCTTCAGAGGGTCGTGTAGTAGCAGTGATATGAGACTTATCCATTCTTTTTATTCATAAGTTGAATTCGTTCATAAGTTAAATTTGTAGGCTTCTGTAAAGAGGCTTCGGTAATGGAGTCGGTGATTCTGGAGGAGGAGATCGACGAGAGCTACGAGCCGACGCAGGATGGTACTTCCGCCCTCATTAAGCTTACTTTCGCCCTCTTGGTGCCTCGTCAGCATCTGTTTCCTGCTAAATGCCGTGCATGGTGATAGAACTAGTAGAATTGGTCGAACTGGTCGAACTGGTTTGGCAACTGTGTGTCAAGGTTTGGGATTCCGGAGCATTCTTACTAGCTCCTTCTACCATGCCTTGCTGCGGAATGACATGCGCTTTCCTTACTCTTCTCGCGCAGTAGCTCGTTTATGTCTTAGGCCCCGAAGCGTCGTCTATTTTTAAGCGCCTCAAAAAGAATTGAGGAGCCTCTGAAATACATGCTCTTTCCTTACTCTTCTCGCGCAGAAGCTATTTCACAGAATTCTCCACGCCGTCGCCTTTAGCAGAACGTATCGGCGGCTGAAATCTCGCTTCTTCTTCCCCCTCCCCACTCTCCCCCGGCTGACCCCTCCCGCTTTCCTTCCTCCCGGCCTCCCTCAGATATCCTGGAGTACGCGCAATGGCTGGGGATGGAGCTTCCGGGGGAGGAGGATCTGCTGTGGGTCGCACGGCAGGGGCTGAAGTCGCCTCTGCCGCCTAACTGGAAGCCGTGGTGAGTGCTTCGTTTGGAATCCCTTTTTATACCGTGTATTCCCTCCCGCTCATACAGTCGTCCTTTGCCGCTTGTCTTTGCATCTCGTATATCTTCTCATCGTATCTCATCATATCACATTATATCACATCATATCCCATCATAATATGCCATCATATCCCATCATAATATCACATCATATCCCATCATATCCCATCATATCCCACCATATCACATCATATCCCATCATATCGCATCATATCCCGCCATATCCCATCATATCTCAACGTATCCCAACGTATCACATCGTATCCCATCATATCTCACCCCATCCCTTCATATCTCATCATATCCCATCATATCCCGTCATATCTCACCATATCCCATCATATCCCATCGTATCCTCTCCTCGACCCTTTTTATACCCGCCAACCCTAACCAGCCGCACAGAGGACGAGCCGAACTACCAGTTCAATTTCTAAGCGGGCGAGAAAGATCACCCCTTCATCCTCCTCTTCCCCCCTGCTCCACCCACCCCTCCCCCCTACACCGCCACCAGTCGCACAGAGGACGAGGACCACCCCTGCGACGACCACTACCGCGCGCGAGGGCCAAACTACCGCTCTCTCCCTCTCCTTTCCCCTTTCTCCACCATTACCAGCCGCACAGAGGACGAAGAGATCTATTATTTCAACTTTCAAACCGGCGAGAGTGTGTGGGACCACCCCTGCGACGACCACTACCGCGCGCTCTACCACCAGGAGAAGGCCAAACTGCTCGCCAGCAGACGAGCGGCTGCTGGGAGCGCGGAGAGTGGGGGAAGGAGAGGAGGTGGGGGCGGGGGGGTGGGGGCGGGGGCGGGGGCGGGGGCGGGAACGGGGACGGGGGCGGGGGCTGGGCCGGGGATAATGAGAGGGACTGTTAATGCTCCTGGGGGAAGGGGGGGAGGAGGAGGAGGAGGAGGAGTAGGAGGTGGTGGAGGAGTGGGAGGAGGGATGGGGATGGGGATGGATGGAGAGACTTATGTGCGGCAGGCGTCGCTACCACCGCAGTCGGGAGAGGCGCGTCAGCGGAACTTGTTCCGGCAAGGATCCTTGCAGCCCAACTCTGCAGCTGTTTTGGTGAGGTTTGCTTTGGCTGATTGGGAGTGTCACGGTGTCACCCCCCCACCCCCACCCCCCCGCCTCGTGGACTAACGAGACATGGAGAGACGTATGTGAGGCAGGCGTCGCTACCGCCGCAGTTGGGAGAGGGGCGTCAGCGGAACTTGTTCCGTCAGGGATCCAACCCAGCAGCTATGGTATGGTAAGGCTGCGTCATTGCCCCGTTCCCCTGTCTCCCGCCCACTTCCGCCCCTTCTTTCTATCCCCCCCCTCCCTTTCACTCGCGGAATTCCCTCTCCCCCTGACACTCCGCTTCAACTTCGTCATGCTTACTTCTCCCATTTACACACGCTTCTACTATCAAGATAGCCTTTTCTTGTCGACTCTCTTCTTCCTGCCTCGTGGTCTCTCGCCTTGTGCTCTACCAGCGCCAGCAGAAAGGGTCCCCTGCACACGCCCAAGCCCAGCAGTCGCAGCCGTTCTCATCTTCTCTCTCCCCCCTTCATTTCCGTCTCTCGCCTTGTGCTCCACCAGCGCCAACAGAAAGGCTCCCCTGGACACGCCCAAGCCCAGCAGTCGCACCTGCGACCTCAGCAGCAGCAGCAGCAGATTCTGCACCAGCAGCAACAACATCATCAGCATCAGCAGCAGCAGCACCAGCAGCAGGCGCGGAATCAAGTACAAGGAGCAAGAAGCCGTGCCAATGAGCCTCCATTGGAGCTCATGCATCAAGTCACCTGGTCTCCCGAACCTCGCTCGGTTCGACAGTCTGCCGAGGCTGCCAGCCTCGCTCGGGCCGGCTCCGTGCCTGCTGTGGCGAATGGAGTGAGGAGTCTACCTGCTGAAACTGAGGAGGAAGAAGGTGCGTGTGCGTGCGTGTGGGGGTGGGGGAGATACCAAGCTGCCAGGTCTTCCTCTGTCCCATACCCTTCTCCTTGCCTGCAGAGTGGAGTGGACCAGGTCAGGTGACGGCCTGTCAGAAAACCCTACTTCATCCCGCACTGCTGCTCCTTCGGCCTCCCCTCGGGCTTCCTTGCAAGAAATCAAGCATATCTCTGCTTGCTTATCCTCTCCCACCCACATCCGTCGTCTCCTTGCCTGCAGAGTGGGCCAGCTCAGATGACGGCCTCTCAGAAATCCCCTCTGCTTCATCCCACACTGCTGCTGCCTCCGCCTCGCCTCTTGCTGCCTCTGCTGCCGCTGCAGCCGTTGCCACCGCTAAGGCTGCTGCTGCTGCTGCCGCTGCAGGCGCAGCTGCTTCTGGTGGGAATGCTGCTGGTGCTGCTGCTACTGCTGCTGCCGCTGCTGCCGCTGCTGCTGGTGGGACATCTTTCCAACAGCAGGCACAGCAGCAACACAAGTCCGGACCTAACGGTTCGGACGTGGGCATAGGAGGAGGGGAAGCGGGTGGTGGGGATTCAGCTGCTGCTGGCGCTGCTGCAAGTGGAGCAATAGGTACCGCTGTTGCTGGGTCGAGGCTGGCAGCAGTCATGGGGCAGGATGTGCGGCGAACCTTCTCAGATCCTAAAAGGGCTTCAGGGTTCGCTGGTGCCGCTGCTGGTAACCCTGTTACTGCTGGTGGTGGTAACCCTGCTGCTGCTCGGGGTGTTGGTGCTGTGGCTTGTGCGGCAGGGGTAGCAGCAGGAGCAGAGGGGAAGGAGAGGAGGAGATCCTTGGATGGAGCTGTTGAGTCGCGAGGAGGGGGAGGAGGAGGAGAGGGGGGAAGAGCAGGGGGAGGCGGTGGCAGTGGGACTTTCAAACGGGCGGATAGTGGCAATACTAAGGGTGTTTTTCGTGTTGATGCGCCTAAGCTACCAGGCAGTGGGAGCTTTAAGAGGGCTGACAGCGGGGAGTCGAAAGCCATGCTAGGAAGCAGTGGGAGCTTCAAGCGGGCGGACAGTGGGGATTCTAAGGGCGCTCTGAGCCTGGGGGCTCCGAAAATTGGCGGCAGTGGGAGTTTCAAGAGGGCGGACAGCGCAGAGTCCAAACGCCTGCAGAAAATTGAGGCGCCTAGAAAGGGAGGCAGTGGTAGCTTCAAGAGGGCGGACAGTGGGGATTCTAAGGGCGCTCTGAGCCTGGGGGCTCCGAAAATAGGAAGCAGTGGGAACTTCAAGCGGGCGGGCAGTGGGGAGTTGAGGGGCACGCTTAGGCCCTGGCATGTAGGGGGTGGGGAGGAGATGAAGCAGCAGCAGCCGCAGCAGAGAGGGCCAGCAGTAGCTGGTTTAGAATCTTCTTCTGCTGCTGCTGGTGGTGGTGCTGCTGCTGCTGCTGCTGGTGCTGCTGCTGCCAAAGCAGGCTCTGCGTCTTCACTCAAGGTGACCGCTGTGATTTGTGATGTTCTTTTCAAACACTGGCTGCGGTCTGTCAGAGCCTGAGATGCTTTCAGATTCTCTCGCTCTGCTACTGCTTTGCCCCTCCCCTGGACGACCCCGAGACTTTCGAGCAGGAGGAGCCATCGACGCTGCTGGACGCGTTTTGAGACGGCTCCGAACACGAGTCTGAGCTGACGTGCCTTGAAGTTTTCCCCCCTTGCTCATGGCCTTGCACCCTTCCCTGCACCCTTCCCTGCACCCTTCCCTGCACCCTTCCCTGCACCCTTCCCTGCGCCGTTTCCTGCAGGACCCCTGGGCGTTTAAACAGGAGGAGCTGGTGGCGCTGCTGGACGGGGACGCTGCCAGGGAGGCTGTGAGGAGACGAAAGATAACAGAGGGAGAGGTAAGGGGCCAGGGGGAAGTGAGGGGCAGGGAGAGGGGTGTGGGGCGGTGCACAGGGAGACTTTTCAAACAGGAGGAGGTGACGGCGCTGCTGGATGGGGACGCTACAAGGGAGGCTGTGAGGAGACGAGATCTGACGAGGAAGAGGTAAGGGGGTAGGGGGAAGTGAGGGGCAGGGGAGGGGACCTTGAACTTGAAGCAACTCGCCCATACCCCCGCCAGCCGTCCGTCACACTCTGCCTCATGGGCATTGCGCCTTAAACCAAAGGCTTTCCTCCTACCCCTTATCTTTGTGCGGCTCGTTTCCCTTATCCCAGCGTGAGGAGTCTGTTTTTGAGGCGCCTCAAAATAGACCCCTTATCTTTGTGCGGCTCGTTTCCCTTATCCCAGCGTGAGGAGTCTGCTTTTGAGGCGCCTCAAAATAGACCCCTTATCTTTGTGCGGCTCGTTTCCCTTGTGCAGAACGAGGAGGCAGTGGAGCTGACGGAGATAGCAACGGGCTCAAAGGCGCATCGATGTGTTCGAGGCGGATTGTGAGGGGAGGCACTGCAATCCTTCCCACCCCCTTGCCCCCTTGTTGCCCTGTCCCAGGACGAGGAGGCAGTGGGAGTGAGGGAGATAGCAGCGGTGGCTCAGAGGCGCATCGACGTGTTTGAGGCGGAGTGTGATGGACGGCTGGCGAGGATACGGGCAGAGAGAGAAGCGCTGATTCAGAGCAGGGAAGCGGAGATCACTCAACTGGCAGAGCGCTTGAACACGGTATGAAATTGATGCTTGAAACACATTTGCTCTGTACAGGAACAGAGTGTGTGATGGTCGAATTGCTAGGGTATTGGCAGAGAGAGAGGGAGGGGCTGATTCAGCGGAGCGAGGCGGAGTTGAATCAGTTGGTCTATAGAGCGCTTGCACACGGTATAATTTAAGGCAGTTTGTAGTCTATAGTCGCACTGACGTGATGGAGCACTGCTACATACGAGGATACGGGCAGAGAGGGAAGCGCAGCGCTGATGCAGCGGAGGGAGGTGGAGCGGGAGAAGCAGCGCACAGACCATCCACCCCACCTCCCCCCCCTCTCCCTTCTTTCCTCGTCTCCATACCCTCCTCCTTGTTCCAGCCGTTTCGGAGTGCACCAATGGAGGAGGGGAGGGCGCTGGTATCCCGGGAACGAGAGGCGGCAATAGTTGCAGCACAGGAGGAGGTGGAGCGGGAGAAGCAGCGCGTGCTGGCACGGCTGGTGGAGGAGCTCGGAGCTCAAAGACCAAGTGGCTGTATCTTCTTTCTTCGCCCCCTTTCCCCCCTCCTTCCCCCCCCCTCTTGCTGCTTTTCCCCTCTCTCGGTACCTTCCTTGTTCCAGCCGTTTGATGTGGGGGCGTTGTCTCAGGCAAGAAGCGCAGCGATGGAGGAGGGGAGGGCGCTGGTGTCCCGGGAGAGAGAGGCGGCAGTGGTGGCAGCACGGGAGGAGGTGGATCGGGAGAAGCAGCGCGTGCTGGCCCGGCTGGTGGAGGAGCTCGGGGCTCAACTGGCCGCTGAACGGAGGAGACTGCAGATAGACCCTCAGTCTTTGGAGGAAGCGAACAGGGGAGATGGTTTGAATCCGCGGGAGAGGGAGGTGCGAGAGGAAGGGGAGAGGAGGAAAGCTGCGCGGTTGGTTGTAGTAGAGAGGAGTATAGAGGCTGAGATGAAGGGGTTGCAGGAGGAGAGGTGGGGAGGGGTGGTGGAGAGGGTGAGAGGAAAGGTGAAAGATGCAGGAATGGGGTTGGATGGAGGGGAGGAGGGGAGGGTGTTGGGGTTTGTGCGGGAGGCGTTGGAGGAGGAGAGGAGGGAGGTGAGAGAGAGTAGGCTGGAGCGGGCTCTTGTAGCGGCTGAGGAGGAGGAGAGGGAGGTGCGGGAGAGAGTGAGGGAGAGAGTGAGGGAGGGAGTGAGGGAGGGAGTGAGAAAGGTGGTGGATGAAGAGATGGAGGAGGGGGAGGAGGAGGAGGTGAGGGTGAGGGTGAGGGATAAGAGGCCTGGGGATGATGAGGGGACGAGGCTTATATCCGAGAAGGAAGGTGGGGAGGGGAGCGAAGGGGCAGAATATGGGAAGGAAGGGGTGGTGATTTCTGAAGCAGGTCAAACCAAGGAAAGGGCAAAGGGAGTGTATGGTGGGGGGGATGGGGATGGTGATGGTGATTTAGAGGGGAGGAGGGAGGGTATGAGGGAGAGAATGCAGCAGGAACTGCAGGAGGGGATGGAGAGGGAGAGGGAACGTCTGTGGGAGGAAATGCGGGCAGATGTGGTGAGCCAATTGGAGCGCAGGAAAACGGAGCTGCTTGCTGACGTGGCGAGGAAAGTGGATGCTGACGTGGCCGAGGAGTATGAGAAGGCGAGGCAGCAGCGGGAGGAGGAGATAGAGAGGAAGATTTGGGATGAGAAGGTTGCTGAGCTGGACGGGCAGATAAACGAAATGCTGGAGAAGGAGCGAGAGGAGCGGCTCAAAGCTGCCCGGAAAATGATGGAGGCGAGCCTGAGGCGGCAAATAGTGGCTGAGAAGGAAGAAAACCTGGGCAGGTGCAGAAAAATGTGGGATGATATGGAAGCAGAGGGGAGGAAAGAGTGGATGGCAGAAGCAAGAGAAGGAAACCTAGAGCAGAGACCGGATGAGTTGAGGGGTAAAGTGCGGGGTGAGGTTGATTCGGAGGTGGGGGAATTCCGAGCCAGAATGCTAGCTTCGGTAGCTGAGGAGGAGAAGAGCCTGAGGGCGAACCTGAGGGAGCGTAAGGATCGGGAACTGGCTCGGGCCGATCGTGAGCTTCGGCGGCATCAGGAGGAGCTGCAGCTCCGGGCGGCTCAGGTGCTGGACTCGTTCCGAACCGACCTGCAGGTTCGGCTGGAGGGCGAGAAGCTGAAGCTTCGGAGGGAGGCGGTTCGGATGCTGGAAAGGTGGAGGGAAGATCTAGAAATTAAGGTGCAGAGGAAGGTTCAAGGAATGAGGGTGGAGTTACAGATGAGGCTGGAAGCGACTAGGAGGGAGATGGAGATAGGGATGAGGAAGAAGGTGGAGGAGGAGAGGGTGTGGCGGCTTGAGAAGCTGAGCTGGGAGTTGAAGGAGGAAGAGAGGGAGCTTAGGAGGGAGTGGAGTGCGGTGATGGCGCGAGACCAGCAGGTGATGCTGGGGGCCCCGAGGGGTAGAGAGGAACAGGTGTTGCTGGGGGGGTCACGGCATTCTATGGGCGTAGGACTGAGGGAGGAGCGGACGGAGTTTGGGAGCCTAAGGGATTCTAAAGCTGGTGGAGGGAGAGGAGACGCCCAAGCGTGGAGGCAGCAGCAGCAGCAGCAGCAGCAGAGGCTGCACCTGGGGGAGGGGCATCTGGGGGAGGGGTTGTTTGTTGGGAGGCGTGTAGTGGAGGGCAGTTTAGGGATGGAGTCAGATTTTAGCCGGGATGGTATGGATGGGGATGGGGGTGGGGATGGAACGGGGGGTATGGAGTTTCTGCTCATGTCGTCGCCAGGAGCCAGGCCGGAGCACAGGAGGGCGAGGGGAGGGGCGCAGGGGATTGGGGGGGCTATTGCAGGGGCAGAGGGAGGGGCGCAGGGGCAATACGTAGAGGGCTTTGGGGAGGGTGGATATGGGGGAGGCCGTTCTGGGACAGGTGGGTTTGGAGCAAGTGCTGGTGGTCGTGGTGGGTATGCTTCTATGGCTGCTGGCTGTGCTGCTGCTGCTGGTGCTGCTGGTAGTGCTGCTGGTGTTTCCCGAGGGCGGTTGGATGGCATAGGGGGCACTGGAGGGGGGTTCCTGGCGCTGGAAGACTTTGGCCTGCCTGAAGGGAGAGTGGGGAGGGCGGGGGGCAGTGGTATGATGCAGAGGCAGCAGCAGCAGCAGCAGCAGCAGCAGCAGCAGAGCCATCAGGGGCAGCAGCTTCGGGAGCAGTTTCAGCAGGGTCGGCAGGGCGGAAGTGATGTAACTGTCAGTTTAAGCCGGGGGGTTGGGGAACTCAGGGGGTGGGGAGCAGCAGCAGCAGCAGCAGCAGCAGCAGTAGAGGCTGGAAGAGGAAGCGGCGGAGGGAGAGGAGGGGGAAGTTATGGTGGTGGTGACACGGTAACTGGCAGTGGTTACAAGCAATTTGAGACGCGTTTTGAGACGTCCCAAAGGCGTGTACAGGGAGGGAGTGAAGAGGAGGAGGGAGCGGATGGGCCTGTATCGAGTCGGATGGTCCCGGATGTGACTATATCGGATGAGGGTACAAAGAGGGAGGCGGATTCTTACACCAGGAGTCGGGCCAATGGACAGACTATGCTTTCGGACGTCGATGCTGATGCTGGCGCCGCCGCTGCTGCTGCTGCTGCTGCTGCTGCTGCTAGTGCGGCTGTTGGTGGTTCTGCTGGTGCTGTTGGTGATGCATCTGCTCCTGCTGAGGCAGCAGCATATGCCGCCGGTAGTGGGGCTCAAGAAAACACTCCACCCCAAGCCTCTGACTTCCAGACCCTTCTTCCTTTCCAAGGAGCCCAATACGACTCGGGCAGCAATTTCGGGGAGAGCTCCTGCGAGTTGTTCCCAAGGTTTCTTCTCGGGCAGCCTGGGCAAGCAGAAGGAAGCGGATTGGCCGGGGACTGGATGGGCAGAGGGGGGATTCGGCCTGGGGGAGGGGGGAGGAAAATGAGGAGCCGGGGGAAGGGCAATCGGACGTCTGGGAGTGGATCTGGCCACGATCGGACGGTGGAGAACGGTCATGGTTCTATGGATGTGCATCCAACGAACGGGGGATACTACTCGGAATGGAGTGACTCGGACTCAGAGGAGCTGGGGGAGTTAAGGGAAGGGAACCTGAGGGCGGGGGACCTGAGGGCGGGGAGAAGAGGGTTCGACAGCGCTGGAGGGGCGTTCGGCGACGGAGGGCTATCTTTTGGGTGAGTCGAGGTGTTGGTAGGTATGAACCAAGGTTGAGCTGGGTTGAAGTGTACTGGATCTGGTTCTGTAGGGTGGTGGGGGTTGGGGGGGGGTGGGGGAGGAGGAGTGGTTATCATATATTCGAGGTGAGCTGGCATCTGATGCTCCGTATCCTATGCTCACCCACTTCCCCCTTCCATTGCCATCTCCCCAATGAGCGGTCTATTTTTGAGGCGCTTCAATTGTAGACCCCTCACGCATGGGTTTCCTCACGCATGGGTTTCATATGCTCACACACACACACACCGTCCATTAACATCCCCCCAGTGAGCGTGGCCTTAAAAATAGACGCCTCGCGCATGGGTTTCCTCACGCATGGGTTACCTACGCTCACGCACACCCCCCTTCCAATCCCACCCCCCCAGTGAGCGTGGGAGCATGATGGAGCGGGCCAGGCAGTTTGTGGCTGAACAAAAGCGGCAGTTGAAGGAGAGAGAGGGGGTGATAAGAGCAATTAGGAGAGGTTGCTTTGAGGAGCAAGCGATAAACCAGTCGTGACCTCCCTTCCTCCCCCCTCTCCCCCCCACGTCACCTTTCCCCTGTTCGTACACCCAGTGAGTGCGGGAGACTGATGGAATGGGTAAAGCAATTCTCAGCGGGGCAGAGGCGTTCCTTGACGGAGCGAGAGACGGTGATCGAGGACTGGTCTGCTCTGGGGAGAGTTGAGCCAATCTTCCCCTTCCTCCTGTCCCCCCCCCTCAGCCCCGGTCTCCATGTCCTGTTTCCCCAGCTTATTCCTCCCAGTGGGCGTGGCAGTCTGATGGAACGAGCCAGGCAGTTTTCAGCTGAACAGAATCGGAGCTTGAAGGGGGGAGAGGCAGTGACAGAGGCAGCCAGAGACCAGTCTCTCCCTCCCTCCCTCCCCGCGTCCCCTTTCCCCTGCTTCTTCTCCCCAGAGAGCGCGCCAGTATGATGCAACGAGCCAGGCAGTTTGCAGCGGAGCAGAAGAAGAGCTTGAAGGAGAGAGAAGCGGTGATAGAAGCAGCAAGGAAGGACTGGCGGAGCCGCATGCAGGCAGTGCAGGAGGTGAGAGGGGGATGGGGAGATGCGAGTATAGGGAACGGAATCTGTGAGAGTGGGCTTGCAAGGGGTGAAGGAGAGAGAAGCAGTGATAGAGGCAGTGAGGAAAGACTGGAGGAGCCGCATGCAGGCAGTGCAGGAGGTGAGAGGGGGGTGGGGGGGGGAGTGAGGGGGGCGTGGGGGGGGATGGTGGGGGGGGTGTCCATTGGTTGGATGAAGGGATGTGCTTATCATTTTGACCTAGAGGGCTTCCAGGGCGTGGAGGAGAGAGGGGCGGTGATAGAGGCGGCTAGGAAGGACTGCAGGAGTTGCATGCAGGCAGTGCAGGAGGTGAGAGGGGGGTGTGCTTATAGTAAAGGGATGTGGCTGTAGTGAAGGGATGTGATTATGGTGAAGGGCGACTGCTATACTAGAGGGCTTTCAAGGTGAAGGAGAGAGAGGCGGTGATAGAGGCAGCTAGGAAGGACTGGTCGAGCCGCATGCAGGCAGGCAGTGCAAGGGGTGAGTGAGAGGGGTGTGACTATAACGAAGGGATGTGATTATAATGAAGGGATGTGATGTGATGTAGTGAAGGGATCTTAAAGCCCGACCGGCAGGTTGCAAGTCCCCTTTTCTCAAGATGCTGCACCTTGAGGCCCCCGTAACCGAGCAGCTTGCGTCAAACTGCCAAATGCTCGCGAAGGGTCTCCAAGCTGGCAGGGCTGGGGACCTCTCGGAACTTGGCAGTGCCAACCTGCCAAGTTCTTCGAGGGGAGAAATGGGACGATTTGTGTGGGGGCTAGAAACCTAAAATTGTACTCGCAGTTTGGGCGAGAATCGCGAAAGAAATATATGCTTCGAACTTTTTGTGTCGCATATTATCGAACCGTAGAGTGCGCCAAACCGCATCAGATTTTTGTTTTTTTAACCAGTCAGGACGAGGTGCTGGTTGTGATGTCAACAGCCAACCAGTCACCCTACAAACTTGGCAGAGCTGGGGAGGTGGTTCTCCGCCAGAGTGAGAGCCCCAGAACTTGGCAGCCCTGCCAAGTTTCCAGCCCCACTAGCTTGTGCGAACCAACGCTGACTCTACGTACGAAGCCTCCCCTTTGCCAAAATAATTAGTTTCTATAATAATTCGCCGACCAATCAGATTCTGTCACCCCACCCACCTGAACAGTACAAATATGCAACCTGCCGGGCGGGCTTTAAGGTGCAGGAGAGAGTGCCGGCTAGGGAGGTCTGAACTGAGGGAGGAGTACCCTTTTACTTTCTGCTCCAGTTCCCACTTTCCTCCTCCCCCTTTCCCTCCTATTGTTACATCAGACAGAATTTCACAACGTCCTCCTCCTTTCCTCGTCTCCTGCCATCTTGCCGTTATCAGACGAGTATGAAAGGCTGCGCCAAGTCCAGCACCTAATGCATGCAGCAGCATCTCTCACTCCGCTCTCCTCCCCCCTTCTCTCGCCCCCTCCTTGCAGTTATCTGACAAGGACGAGAGGACACGCAAAGTCCAGCACCTGATGTATACTGAAGCCACGCTGGACCAGGACCACGCTGGAGCGTAAGACAGCTGAGGAAGAACCTTCTCTCCCTGTTGCCCTGTATCTTTTCCCATCGCCGCAGTTGTCGGATGAAGATGAGAGGAGGCGCAAAGTCCAGCACCTGATGGACATCAAAGCCACGCTGGACCAGCATGTGAGGGAGCTCAACGACGACACGAGAAGCGTCAGACAGCTCAGGAAGAACCTCCTCGCCTTCTCCCGCAACTCAGCCTCTGCTGCTGCTGTTGGTGGTGCTGCTGGTGGTGGTCTAAGGGGCAGTGGGAACCTAAGTGCCAGTGGTGGTTTTAGTGCGGGAGAGTTGGTGTGGTTCGGGAGGAGAAGAGGGGGGAGGGAGCGAGTGGGAGGATGGCTGGGAGGCGGGATGGGAGGGGGAGTAGGTATCCCGCCAGGTGGCGGCGTGCGATTGGACCAGAACGGCCCGCTGCTGAATTTCCCACCGAATGCGATCATGTCCCCAGCCTCGTCGTTTGGTTCGGCAACGATGCAGGACGGGAACCCGGACCTAAGCGATGTGAGCGACAACTCAGGTTCGGTAAGGATGTTCCCTGCAGAAAGGGCTGCAGAACGGGCTTCTGGCAGGGATGCTGGGACTGCTGGGGATGCCTCTCCCTTGTATTCCCCTGTGGGGAGAGATGCTGGACAAGGCATGCTGGGTGCACAGGCAGAGGGGAGGAGAGATGGAGTGGGGAGGGGAGGTGATTGGAGGCAGGGGAGGGTTGGTACCAGTGTGACTGGCGCTGCTGCTGCTGCTGCTGCTGCTGCTGGTGTAACAGTTGCAATAACTGGTGCTGCTACTGGCAGCCGCCAAGGGGTTGGGGTGACATCGGAGAGTGGAAGTGTGGGAGGAGGAAAAGGAGGGGAAGCAGGAGGAAGGATTGAGGGTGGAAGGGAGGGGAGGAGGATAGCTGAAGGTGCAAAGCAGGGCGCAAGGGATGTTGATAGCGCACTACGAGAACCAAGGAGTGTGAGCGGTGCAAGTGGGGCGAAGTGGGGAGAAGCGAAGCGTGGAGGAGGGCTGGGGAGAAGGGGAAAGGACGCTAAGCTAGGTGCAGTTACGGGAGGGACAGCCACAGCAGCAGCAGCAGCAGCAGCAGCAGCAACAGCAGCATCGGCAGCACCAGCAGCCGGAGCACCCGCTGCAGCAGCAATGGCAGCACCGGTAGAAGGCCAATCAGCTCAGAGCAATTCAATGTGAGCACGAACAATCTGTTGCTTTCCCTTGTGACTCACTTTCCTTTTCACATTCCTTCTCACACTCCCTCTCCCATTTCCTTAACATCCTTAACATCCCTCACACTTCCTCCCCTTTCTCCTTGGTCCTCTGCCCTTATCCTCTCTCCTTTCCCTCTGCTTCTTCTGTTTCCCTCGCCCTATCCCCCTCCTCTTTCATTCTCTTGCATTGCCTTCCCTCTGGCCCGTGGCAGAGGAAGGGTGAAAGGAGGCCTTCGCAGCACAAGTGCGAGTGCGATGGGTCAGGCTACTGGCGCAGGAACAAGTGCAGGAGCAGGAGGAGCAGCAGGAGCAGGGGGAGCAGGAGGAGCAGGGGGAGCAGGGGGAGCAGGAGGAGCAGGAGGAGCAGCAGGAGCAGCAGGAGCAGGGGGAGCAGGAGGAGCAGCAGGAGTAGTGGTAACCATCAGTCGTAAACCTAACCTTAACAACAGAAGAGCAGCAGCGCCATTCGTTCATTTAAACGGCACTAAGGAGAGTCAACAGCAGCAAAAGATGCAGCCGAGTGCAACAGCGGTAACACCTGGAGGAGCAGCTGGCGGGCCGGGGTCAAGGGCAGCAAACAACATGAGCAGTGCACGTGAGCAGGTATGGCCCAGGCAGGTACAATCCAGGGAAGGTATTGCGCAAGGTATGCATGGGCAGGTATGATCCGGGGAATTTAATTCCCAAGGTATGCATGGGAAGGTATTGCGCAAGGTATGCATGGGCAGGTATGATCCGGGGAAGGTAACGTCCAAGGTATGCATGGGCAGGTATGGTGTGTGTGAAAACATTGTGTGATTGAAGTTGAAGGGGGATGTGCTTCGTTTTTCCCCATCGTCACTCTTCCTTGATTCCTTCCCCCCACCCCCCCACCCACTTTTGAGTCGACTCAAAAGCCCACCGTCACTCTTTGTTGATTCCTTCCGTCACGCTACCCCCATCTTTCCTCCCTGCAAGCGGAAGGAACAGTAGCGGATCAGAGCCGAGAGCAGGGCAGAATGTAGGCTCCTTCAAGATCGAACGGCAGGTTGCATATTGACACGGTTGAAGTAGGTAGGCTGGCCGAGAGCAGGGCAGAATGTAGGCTTCTTAAAGCCCGACCGGCAGGTTGCATATTGACACGGTTGAAGTAGGTAGGCCGGCCGAGAGCAGGGCAGAATGTAGGCTTCTTAAAGCCCGACTGGCAAGTTGTATATTGACACGGTTGCAGTAGGTAGGCTGGCCGAGAGCAGGGCAGAAAATAGGCTTTTTAAAACCCGACCGGCAGGTTGCATATTGACACGGTTGAAGTAGGTAGGCCGGCCGAGAGCAGGGCAGAATGCAGGCTTCTGAAGGATTTTCCCCTTATCGGGTGCCTCCCCTTTCCCCATTCCCCTTGTATCCTTCCTAGATGCAGCGAAGGGCCAGCAGCGGATCAGTGCCGGGAGCAGAGCACAGTGAAACGAGCAGCAAGTTCAACCAGCAGAGGCGGCCATCCCTGGACGTGTGAAGCACAAGCAAGGCATGGGTGCCCACCCATGCAGGGAATGGGTAACCATTCCAGTCATGGGATTGAGACGTCTCAAATCGAAACTGGGCGTGTGAGGCATGTGCAAGGCATGGGTACCCGTGCGTGGAACGGCTAAGCGGTCAAAGAATGCCTGGTGGGAGCATTACTGCCACTTCACTTGTGGCAGCAGCAGCAGTGGTGGCAGCAGCAGCAGTGGTGGCACAGCAGCACCTCTTTGTATTATATTCTAACAAGTTTGCTTGGGTTGGTGATGGGGAGAGTTGACGTCTCTGCAATAACTGGAACTCATTTCATTTGTTTTAATTTATTTCATTCAGTTTGGACATTTGCTGTCTCGGCCAATTCCTATGAAGTAGCATCACCACTGTTGGAAATATTGTCAAACATGTTTATTGATCATGTTTGTATAGACTGTATAGGGTAACCTCCTAGAGGGTACAACATTTAGGTATATGTGCATGTACTCACTAACTCTATTATTATTCTATTCTAGTTTTGAGATGGTATCACGCGTAGGTTTCGACCCCCCCCCCCCCCCCCCCCCCCACCTACCGCTTCCGCTCCTCCCGTCGCGTCTCCTAGCCTAGCCTCGCCCCTCCTGAGCCCAGTCGCGACTCCCCCCCCTAGCCCCGTTGTGCTCCTCTCAGGCCTCGTCGCGCCCCTTCCAGGTCGTCGTAGCGCCCCTCCAGGCCCCGTCGCGCCCCCTTCCAGGGCTTCGTAGCGCCCCTCCAGGCCCCCGTCGCGCCCCTCCTGGGCTCTGTAGCGCCCCTCCAGGGCCCCGTCGCGCCCCTCCTGGGCCCCTTAGCGCCCCTCCTGGGCCCCGTCGCGCTCCTCCCAGGCCCCGTCGCGCTCCTCCCAGGCCCCGTCGCGCTCCTTCCAGGCCCCGTCGCGCTCCTTCCAGGCCCCGTCGCGCTCCTCCCAGGCCCCGTCACGCCCCTTCCAGGGCTTCGTAGCGCCCCTCCAGGCCCCGTCGCGCCCCTTCCAGGGCTTCGTAGCGCCCCTTCTGGGCTCGGTCGCGCCCCTCCCAGGCCCCCGTCGCGCCCCTCCCTGGGCCCCCGTCGCGCCCCTCCCTGGGCCCCCCCCCGTCGCGCCCCTCCTGGGCCCCCCCTTAGCGCCCCTCCTGGGCCCTGCCGCGCTCCTCTCTGGGCCCCGTAGCGCCCCTCCTGGGCCCCGTCGCGCCCCTCCAGGGCCCTGTCGTGCCCCTCCTGGGCCCCGTCGCGCCCCTCCTGGGCCCCGTCACACCTGCTCGGCCCCGTCGCCCCAGCTCGGCCCCGTCGCAGCCGCTCGGCCCCGTGGCGCCCGCCCGGCCCCTGTCGCAGCCGCCCGGCCCCTGTCGCACCCGCCCGGCCCCGTCACGCCCGCCCGGCCCCGTCGCAGCCGCCCGGCCCCGTCGCTGCCGCCCGGCCCCGTCGCAGCCGCCCGGCCCCGTCGCAGCCGCCCGGCCCCGTCGCAGCCGCCCGGCCCCGTCGCGTCTGCCTGGACCCTCGTCGCGCCTGCCCGGCCCCGTCGCGCCTGCCCGGCCCCGTCGCGCCTGCCCGGTCCCGTCGCGCCTGCCCCGGCCCTACATACTTCCTGGTACTGTCCCCCGTTCCCCGCACCGCTTTGCACCCTCCTGCACTTCCCTGCCCCGCCTTGCACCTCACTGGACCGCACTGCACCGCACTGCCTCGCACTGCACCGCACTGGACCGCACTGCACCGCATTGCGCTGCACTGGACCGCACTGCACCGCACTGCATCGCACTGCACCGCACTGCACCGCCCTGCACCGCACTGCACAGCACTACACCGCACTCCACTGTCCTCCACTGCCCCTGATGGCTGCTGAGCTTCGTTTTGATGCTGAGGGTCAGCCTCTGGAGTTCGAGGCGTGGTTGGCTGACCTTCGCCGCCACCTCACTGGTCAGCGGCAGGACGGCCACCCGCTTTCTGCCCACCTAGACGGTATGCTCCCCTGCCCTGACCCCCCTGCTGTGCTGCCCGCTGATCCCACGCCCGCTGAGCGCGAGTCCACTGCCGCCGCTGCCCTTGCCCGCTCTGTCTGGCTTTCCCGCGATGCCCTTGCTCAGCTCGCCATTAGCAATGCCCTCCCCCCCCCTGAGCGCCCTCGCTTTAGAACCATTACTACCGCCCAGGCCTACCTCGATGCTGTCATCAAGCGCTATTCTACCCCTCCTGCTGCCTCAGTGGGTCGCCTGATCCTCCCCCTGCTCTTTCCTGACCTTGCGTCTTTCCCCACTGTCTCTGACCTCGCTGCCCACCTGCGCTCGATCGATGAGACCTGGCGCGCTGCCTGCACTGATGCACAGCTTAGAGTCCACCAGCCTCCCATGACCTCTACCCTCTACCTCCTTGCCACCCGCCTCCCTGACCGCCTTGTCGCCGCCCGCGACCAGTTCCTTAGCATCCACCCCGCTGCTCTCACCCTCACCGACTTTGTTGACACCCTGACAGTTATAGAGACTCGTCACCGCTCCATCGCCCAGGCGAGCGGTACAGTACCGGTCCCTATCTTTCAGGGTTGTGCCCCCGCTCAGTGTACCTTCTCCGACGACTCTGTCGCTGTGGCTGAGACTGCTGCTGCAGTGCAGTCCCGCTCGGGGAAGGGCCGCCGCCCCAAGGTTGGGAGCGGCGGAGGTGGCGGGGGTGCGGGTGGGGGTGGTGGTGGAGTCGGGTCGTCCGGTGCCGGTGCGGACGTGGGGACCCTGCCCAGTCCAGCTGCCCCGCTGCCTCCACAGTCGCAGCAGCAGCAGCAGCAGCAGTCGCCGCAGCCGCAGCCTCCGCAGCAGCCGCCGCAGACGAGGCAGGCGAGTGCTCTCCCGCCTGGGTGGCCTGGAGCTGGTGGTGGTCGTGCGCGTGGTGGTGCGCCGGGTGGTGGTTCTGGAGGCGGGCGCTGTCAGTACCAGATCCAGACCGGTCCTCGCCGCGGTTTCGTTTACGGTAAGATCGGTCATTCCACTCCTCGCTGTTTTCGTCGTCTGGACGACCTGTTCCGTCAGCGCTTTGGCCCGGCGCCCGACCTCCCGGATTGGCAGAGCTTGCTTAGGCGTAGCATTCAGATTTTTGACTTGGACATGGATGCCATTGTAGCAGCCTTGCATGTGATGTATGCTGATGACTCTAGTGTGCTTCCCTCTTATTACCATGTGTTGCCTAGTGTAGATGTGCCTATCGTAGACTCCCCTGCTGCGTCAGGCGTAGGATCTCATGCTTTGCTTAGCCTCGGTGCTTCCACCGCTTCACTGCCGCCTCGCGCGACTGCTGCACTTTCCTTCACCTTGGACTCTGGCGCCTCCCGGTGTTTCTTCCGCGACTCCACGACGCTGACGCCGCTGCCTGTTCCCGCTGCAGTTACTCTTGCTGACCCCTCCTGTGGTCCCGTCGTTGCCCGCAGTTCCACCTCCCTTCCCTGTCCGGCGGTTCCTTCAGGTTCGCTCACCGGTCTGCATATCCCCTCGTTCTCCAGGAACCTAGTTGGTGTCGGCTGCCTCCAGGACCTTGGCGTCACCACTACGTTCCCTGGTCACGAGCGGTATGCTGTCTGTACCGAGGCCGCCACTGGTGCCCCCCTTACCACTTTCCCCCGGGACCCGGTGTCCGGCCTGTTCACACTTGACACCGCGACTTCCCCGGCTGGGTCTTCCCCCCAGGTCGCTGCGTCCACCCAGGTTGCTGCTGCGTGCTCCTGTCGGTCCCTCACTCACCCGACTCTCCTTTGGCACCACCGCCTTGGTCACCCTGCACTCCCGCGTCTGCGTCACATGTCCCAGCACGGTCTCGTCCTTGGTCTCCCCGGTTCGTTCCCCGAGTTTCCCTCGTCCCCCGCCCCCCCGTGCACGCCTTGTGTCGAGGGCCGGCTCCGCCGTGCCCCTCACTCCTCCTCGTTTCCCCCTACCACCGCACCACTGCAGACTCTGCACATGGACGTCTGGGGCCCAGCCCCGGTCCATGGGCCGCGTCGCGAGCGCTTCTTCCTAGTGCTTGTCGACGACTTCACGCGCTACACCACCGTCTTTCCCCTGGAGCGGAAGGCCGACGTGCCTGACGTTCTCATCCCCTGGCTTGTCTCTGCTCGTGTCCACCGCGGTCTCCCTGCCTTGCGCCTCCACTCCGACCGGGGTGGCGAGTTTGCCTCAGGTGTCCTTGGTCGCTTCTGTCGTGCGGAGGGCATCACCCAGACGTTTACCCTGCCGGACTCCCCGCAGGAGAATGGGGTCGCTGAGCGACGCATCGGTTTGGTCATGGAGGTGGCTCGCACCTCCATGATCCACGCCGGCGCACCCCATTTTCTGTGGCCGTTCGCCGTGCGCTACGCCGCTCACCAGCTTAACCTGTGGCCGCACCCCCAGCGGCCGCCGGTTTCGCCGACCCTTCTGTGGACCGGGTCCCCTGGTGACGCGTCTGCGTTCCACGTCTGGGGCTGCCTTGCTCACGTTCGTGCCTCTGGCACGGACAAGCTCACTGCCCGCACCCTCCCCTGCGTCTTCCTCGGTTTCCCCCTTGACGCGTCCGACTGGCACTTCTACCACCCGCCGTCTCACCGCTTCTTTCACTCTCGCGACGTCACCTTTGACAAGTCCGTCTCCTTCTACCGCCGCTTCCCCCACCGTGGTCCCCCGGTTACTCCCCCCCTGTTCCTGGTCCCTCCTTCCCCGGTGGTCCCTGCCCCTCCCCCCCCCGCCCCCCCGTCCGGCCCCCTCTGGTGTGTCTCACGTCACCCCCCTCCCGTCGGTCGTCCCGGTCGACGAGTCTTCTGACTCTGGTAGTCCTCCGGCGCAGTCCTCGCCGTCTGTCCCTCCCCCGGTGTCTCCTCCTCCACCGCCTCCGCAGCCGCCGTCGCCGCAGCTGCTGCAGCCGTCGTCTCCACCGCCGCCGCCGTTGCAGCCGTCGTCTCCGCCGCCACCGCCGTCGCGGCCGTCGCTGCAGCCGCCGCCGCCGCCGCCGCAGTCGTCGCTGCCGCTGTTTGTGGACTCTGGGGGTGCTGGCGTTGAGGTGGGTACTAGTCCCGGGGCTCCTGTCGTGGCTTGTCCCGGCGGGCCTGGGGTGGTACCGGTGCTGGCGGGGTTTCGTGCTCTGGGGGTGTCCCTTCTGGGGGTGCCGGTGTGGAGGGTTCGGGAGGTAGCAGTCGCGCAGCTTGTGGCCCTGGCGTTGGTGTTGTGTCGCCGCAGCAGCAGTCCCCGCCGGTGTCCGCCCTCCGTCTGCTCGGCCTTCCGTCCCCTGACCCTGCGCCTGTTCCTCACCTGCCGTCTCCTCCTCTTCCCGTCTACGGCCCCGTGTTCCCTCCGCCGGCGTCGTCCCCGGCTCGTTTTCCCCCTCGTTCCCCACCAGTGTCCCCTCCTCTGTCTCCTGACCCGACGCCTCCCTCTCACGTCTGGTCTCGCCGCCCCTCCCGTGCTCGTCCTGTCTCCCCCGTCCCGCGCT